CTGGGCAGACGGAAAAAAGTCGACTCGGTGCATTTCTGTCTGCTGCGGAGAAAGGAAGAACAATGTGCGCTTGTGGTGGGAAACTGAACGGAATGAGGAATTGAAGAAATCATAATAGAGGATGTGGTCGAATTTCCCACTTGGGGCGACGAAAAAGGATAAAAATTTGCACTTCACAAAAATAACAACGTGCCTATTTTTAATTTGGAGATAAAAAATATTGGAGCTCTGGATTGTTCTGTCACGTTAAAATAAAGGGCAAATTGTCTGACAAAAATTTATTCGTTAATCTTTTTAATTCTTAAAAAAAATCGAATAACTATATATTTTTCCCTTATTCAATCAATGATGCGATTTTTCAAGGAAATTTTAAATGTTTTATTACTGAAATTTGCAATAAAAAATATATTCCTTGAAAAAATTAAAATGCCAAACTTAAATTAAGCTTCAAAATTCAGACGTCTTCTATCATTTTTTTCAGATTTTATATGTTTAAATTAACCATTTTATGTGTTTACCAAAAACATGTTTATGAAATTAAACAAATTTGCTGATTTCAACAAATTTTAACAACAAATTAAAAAAAAAATTTTGCCCTCAGGCAATAAAAGAAAAAAAATCTAATATTGAAAATTTAAAGAGCTTGATGCTTTTAAGCTCTTCTAAGAAAGGAAAATTAATGTTTCTCAGCACTACTTCCCCTTTATGCAAGTGACTGTGTCGGGACAAAAATATCATTTATGGTCACATACAGCTTCATTCGTGCTGCTAAGTATAAACAGAAACTAATGCGGCGTGGGGGACCGACTGATGAGATGTTTAAAGCTTTAACTCCTTTACTTGTGCCCTTTTATCTCTCTCTGTCGAGTTCAACTCTCATATGCACGCGGCCGTTACTGTGCGTTCAAAAGAGAGTACCCAAGATAAAGCGTCTGGGAAATTGAATATAATCGAGATTGATGATGGTCGTACATGAGAAACGCGCGGTGACTGTCCGCATCATTTACAACTTCTTTCTTTTAAAAGGAAGAGCGCCACATTCAAATTAGACGACTCTCTTTTTCAAATGGTGAATTATTATCATGCGCCGGACGGAAAACGAAAAACGGAGGTCCCATTTTTTATTTCAACGCTGCGTTGGAGACCGAGTGTAAACATATTAGATCTTGTCACCAGCAGGCAAGGTCGTTGCTCGGCTAACACTGCAGGCTTGTTTTTAATTTGTATTGTATATGGTTGGGGACATTTTTATGTGTGCGCCCAACGCTCTTCCTATGTATATCAATTAGCAGCTCAAAAGTTTTGAATTGTATCCTTGGCAGGAGCTTTATTCAATTTTTAAAGTGTAGAGTATTCTTATCCTAATAAAATTCCACCAAATCGCCTTTTCAGCTTAAGCTAATTGCGTTCTGCGTACTACATAAAAAGTAATCTTCAGCACGCCAATAAATCGCGCACAAATCCCCTTAAGCGCGCGTGCAAGAAAATATAATATCGATAAATGCCCTGCTTAAGAGGCGATTTAAAATTATTTTTTCTTGTCACGCAAACCCAAGTTTTCTTTTCCTTAGAACATGCTCAAAACTTTTTTATTCGTTTCATATCTTTCAGTTTTTGTTCCGTGTGACGTTTATTATTGTGCAAAAAGAAATTTGGTTTGCATAAGAAATCCTCACGTTCCTGGAGCGTGAAGTGACATTTCTCACTTTTCTCTTTGCTTGCTCAGCCCGAATTGTTAGAACAAACGATGCCGACGTGCCCCAAGGACCATATATCCACCTTCATTTGTACTCGTACATCACGAAGAAAAATTTACAAGAGCTCTCTGCTAGTTTAGATGGCGCTGGAGAGTGTTCATTATTTCCAAAATCGAAAGGAAAATCTTCCAGTAGAGTGCTCGATCAATCCCCTTTCAAAATCGTTAGCACCTTGAGTATAATAATATTTCCAAAAATGGAAATTGCCTCAATTTCTCCGAACAGCTGCGAGCATGAAAGACTTTTTTATAGTTGGAGTTCGCCAGCCTGTGAACTTATTAGTGACTCGCAATAATTTGTCCTCCAAATTTTTTTTTGTTCCTCTGAAGAAGATAAGAAATTTAATCTGGACATTGAAATTCCGCGGCTTATTCAATATGCTTGTAAAGATGCAGCCTTTCTGATATTGAAAGATTATTCAAGTTTTATATTGTGAAGTATAGTGTCGTTGGGCCCAAGGCCGTACGCATTACCAAAGAAAATAACGCATCATAAATTATATGCACAGGATTATACAAGAGATCGATGCAGGTTGCTGGAATTTCGAAAGATTTTCTCAGGTATTTATATGGAAATCAATAAAAAAAAATTAACGCTGCGTTCTGTATATAATTATATTTAAATGCACTGAATTGTTATTGTGAAATCATAAATATTGAATACTTAAATTCCATATTGGTCCATCGCCCACTTTTTTTATACATCTCCAATTTAGTAAATAAATAAATTATTGTCTGCTGATGTTATTTTTCACTCAATAATCGTTTTATTAGAAATGGGCGAAATAACACGCTTACAAGGCCCTCTAATTGGGACAAATAACAATCGGAGAGTGATCTGGGTCTGCAATAAAAATTTATTGTTTTTCGCGAACCGGCTAATCTTTGCAGCCGAAAACTGGATTATATAAATAAAAATAAAGTTTTACAGGGGCACGGCCCTTTGCGCGATTAAGCGGAGGTGCGCTCCGCTTTAGAATCTAGAACTTGCTAATGGCTCTCGAGGATGAAAGCAAAAGCTCTCTAGAAATCCCACACACCAGCAGAAAAACCAACTTCGCCCTATCAAGAAGCATAAGAAGAGCTCCGCGCAGAACTTTCAAGGACCTGCAGCTCTATCTCGTAAATTCCAATAAACGCTTCTGCGCGTGACAATGGCAGGAAATATCGCGAAAAATTTACCATTTTCCATATTTCAACCGCGGAAATATATGAAAGGGTTATTATATTATGTGAGCTAGGTGGTTCGCGTGTGCGCTTATTAATCCTCATTCAAGTGTCAGTCCGCGTAATGAAAGCCGAAGTGCAATTTAGCATAATTGAAGTGAGGCGCACAAAATGAATGGATCGAGCGAGTCGAGCAGTTGAGTCACGACCACCCACCAACCCGCCGAGCCACCGGAATAAATCAAAACTCTGGTTGCTGAACGACGCGCCCAACCATCTCTCGCCATTTGTCTCTTAGCGTCCGGCTTAATGGTCTTTATATACAGAGTCAGGTGCTTCTGCTGCTGGACCGGAGGAGCAAAGTTTGGGAGTTTGATTTATGGGCGCGCCTCACAAACCGATCGATTATTATCCTTAATTTATGACTTCGAAAGTTAAAACCGAATGAAATGGTTGAGGTAATATTCTGAGTGCTGTGAGATAACCACAAAATAGTCATAATTAAATATGGAAATTCTATAACTTAATGCAACAAACAGATCATTCAAAATAAGAATTAAAAAATTTTAAATCAAGATTGGTATTTATTTTACAGAATTTAAAGTCAAATTCTATCCAGTTGAAAACTTGATAGAATCAAATTAAACTTGCAAACATTATTATAATTATTAATTTTCCCACCTTTTAAAATTAAACAAGATTTAAATTAACTCTCTTTAAAAAAATAATCCTTTTTAATTTATTTTTTATTTACTTATTTAGTCTGTAAAATATTCAGAATTATCTTCATACCTTTCACATCACGTGAAATTTTCAGTAGGGGTCCAGTTGCAAAACGTAATTGACGGTTGGATACTTCAGAACCATAGGTGGTCCTAATTAATTATTCTGTCTGAACCCACGGGAGCACATTCATTTTTAAATTTTTTTATTTCTAGATGAAGTTGCTCTTCTGTTTGTTTAAAATGAGGCATTAAATAGGCGCCAGATTTTCCAGCCGCCTATTCACGGTGTATATAAAAATGATTCTAGAAGAGGAGAATGCTCATTCAAAAAATAATTAAGGAATCCGGCGAGAGCAAAAAATGCGTGCCCGTATAAGGTCACAGCTACACTGGCTACTGCTTTTGGTTCTTTTAAAAATAAAACGTCCAGTTGCCGCTGAGAGATCTTGAAATGCGTGCGCGACGGAAAACGCGTCAATTTCAATGTTATTTGTTGAACTGGCCGAACAGGGCCAGACTAGTTAATTTAAAGCAAAAAAAGCTTTTTGGCTAAAGGACACCCTGCTGGACCAACATCGCCAGATAATGACATTTCCTAGAGAAACTACTTTAATTCGGTGGATTTTATCTTTGAACATATTTGAGGTCATGTGGCTAAGTGAATTTTCTTTTTGATTATAGAAAGAGATACAAATCTCTAATCCAACTCCTGCTGCTTACACTTCACATGAATTTTCAAAACATTTTGACACGTTCCTGCGCTGTATGGTGCAAACTTTCGAGAAAGGACCTTATAATTTCGGCGTGAAATTGCTCAACGGTTCTGTCTGATTTTGATATGAAATTCGACACCGACAGTCAAGCGAGATTTTAATCCGCTTTTGCGTTATTATAAATTGTCAAGTTGGTTGCGTCGCTGTATAAACAGAGCAGAGACGCGCGAAGTGAGACTGAAACTTAATATTTTAAGTTGATTACATCAAATTGCAACGGAGTTATATAGATTAATCTGCTTATTTAAATCGTGCAGTCGGTCACGTCATGGCGATTTGGACCACCGTCTATGAGAAAAATTAAAGTCATTTTTCCAAAAACGTTACCATCTTTTCTACATAACAGTATTCTAAATAATGATCTAGAAAACGATTATATTGAACATTTGATTAAAATTTAAAATTTCTTTTAAATGAAAAAGTTTCGGCTCTTTTTTTTTAAAAACGAGTTTCTGAATTATTGTATAAATAATTTAAATAAATCAACTTTAATTTAAAAAAAATATATATTATATTTCTCTATATAATGAAGGTTTAAAGCGAAGGGAAAATGAAATTGAAATTCAAAATTGAACTGACCTTGCAAAGGGCGACTCCATCCTCAAGTCGATCCATAAAGGTGTCAACGGTGATCTGCAGCTGCGGGTAAAGGACGCACAGCCACTCGGCCAAATCCTCCCTCATGGCGTACAGGTACTCTTCGCTGCTCTTGAAGGGGCGCAGGGTGCGCGAGTCCATCAGCAGGGCGGTCACCTCGGCTCCGAAGCCGACGCCGCCCATTAGCGTGGCCATAGCTTGTCAGATTTCGCGAACAACTGTTGACAGAAAGCAAAACAAACATCACTTTCTGTGCCGATGTGAAATCAAATAATATGTGTCTGTTGGCGAGTTTAGCCCCGGGGCCCCGCAAATTGGCCCCGATACTTCACTCTCTGCACCGATTTGAGTAGGAAGAAATATAAATTGATGACTCACTGCTCAATTTCTAGCATTTCTAAAAGATCTCTTCTCTATTAAAAATTTCTGCAAACCAGATAAGAGTTTGACTCTAGAGTTTAAAAATTTAATAAAATTTAGTTCAACAATTTACAAATAAAAAGTAGAATTGAATAAAACTTTGTCTATTCCTAGAATTGAATTGCTTTGGTTTTCCAATCCGGCTTATGGTTTGAACAACTGTGCTTTATCTGGCCGTTGCATCACAACCGCAAAAACACAACGGCGCCTCAATCGAATTTCGATCTAATTGGAGGGAATCGGGAGCGGTCGTTTCTTTTCATTCAGCTGCAAGTTTCCTTCTTTGGCCGCCTCAGCTCCCACATGCACGCAGCGAAAAGAGACGAATGAGAAATCGGCCACAGTTTGCCCGCCACCGGGCCTCACAAGAGAGTGTTGTGGAATATTAGCAATAATCCCGAAACAATGATGGGAAGCGAAGAATTTGAAATGTGTATGACCTTCAGGGATTAAAATGTAAATTTACACCGCAGGAAATGCAATAGTTTTTACTGGGTATTATTATCTCCTAGTGATTTCAATAAGAATTATTTTTTTTCACAAAATAATTTGAGATCATTTGGTTTTATGTGCGAATTTTTCACCTTTTTAACGAAATAGGGTCACATTGCTCACGCCAATAAAAACGAAAAGTGACATTTTCTAACAGTGAGTCAATCAAATTCCACGGAAAATAGCGTTGCGTGTCCCAGTTTGAAAAACGTCCGCGTGCTTGAATTTGAAATTACTCTACCGGTCGCTCATGCATATGTTCAGTTAAAAAGTCTGACAAAAGCTTCGACTTTTGGTGCTGTGTCTGAAATGTTACGTTTTATCTCTATGGAGGCCGATATGCACGCAACTTTATGAATGCCACTTCTCTCCAAATGTTATCTCTGAACGAATAACTAATTGCTTTGCGGGTTCCAACAAAAAATACACATATATCCTATTTAAAGTTTTTTTCCCAGCAACAACAAAATTTAAAATATTCTCAATTAAAAACTTCTTTTGATAATTAATTTAATTCTTTTTTAATATAATTTTACATTTAATCTTGAAAAGTCATAGATTTGCAAATAACACTAATTTTTGGAAAATTCGAGCTAGAGGCTAATTTATAAGTCCAGCATTGATTCAATAATTTTGCCAAATTTACTCAAGAACAGAAATATTTAAATCCTCTTAACTAAATTAGAAAAAGCTGAAAAAGATTTTTTTGTAAAATTAAAAAGAAAAACTTTCTCAGTGACGATTGTGGTTATGAATCAAAATGAAAATCACAATAGATGACCTGACGAGATTCACACTCGTGTGTACTGAAAATGAGGCTCTTTAACGACAAGAAAAGCCTTTTATAATTTAATGGCTTATTTCCTAACCTTCTCTCATCTCTGCACGCTGCTGCTGGATATGGTACAAAAAAAACTCCATCCGATTTCTCTACGGACACAATAGCAAAGAAATTTCCTTTATCGCACCGCAGCATGCATCGACGATGAGAGATATACACACGAGCAAAAAGTGCATAAAAGGCTTCGTTTGTCCGATTCGGCCTTTAGCCGCATTTTTCTGCAGCATCAATTGAATTTGCGCTTTGTGTTTAAATTGAATATTTCGCGCCTCGATGCCAATCTATAATGAGATTTCTGCGTGCATATCAGGCGTGTCAATCAAAATAAATTGCAGGTTGACGAGCTGGTGTTAAATTTTGAATGACAGGGTACAATTAAGAAAGATGAATTAAATTAAAAGGGCAATGGGCGTCAACGCAGTATTGAAATAATCAAATTTGCGTTATTTATTCAGTCCAAAATTTCAATAATTATGCTATTTATAATACCATTAATTGACTATACCAGAATTATTCAAATTACAAGAATTGCTTTTAAGATTATTATGCATTCGTCAACAAAGTATTTTGTAATAATATGATTTTGTAGATGATAAAAAAAATGATTTTAATTTATTTGAAAAGAATTTGAATGAATAACAAATAAATAACTCATAAAAATGATTTAAATCTAATAAATAAAAAAAAGAAAGCATTAATTTAATTATTTGAAACGGGAGAGTTATAAAAATATTGTTTATTCATTATTTTATATTCCCTTTGTAATGAATTATATGTAAGAAAAAATAAGAATATAAAAGTAAATATTTATTCTCAATCTCCTTATCAACTCCTAAGCAAGTGAAAAAGGAGCAGCGAATGTTGGATGTAATATATTTTAATTTTAAAATCCTAGAGAGAGGAGAGATCATTAATCTGTCTGGCTCCAAAATCGGAGACATGAGATTCGGGATTTAATCGGGCGCGCAGACTAATTAACGCATCTTGAGAGACGCGGAAGTCGCATGGTGTATTTTTTTCCAATCAAAGTGTTGCGTCGTCGAAAAGCAAGAAAGGTGCGAACGAACATCAATCCCGCTCGTCGGTCACAACCAGAGATAAGGGCCACTCTCGCGAGCGTGTGTGTCATCCTGTTAGGTGACGCAAGTAATGTTATTGAATTTAATCCATACAAGTGAAATGAGAACGCCGACGCCATAAACAGCCTGGCCAATTATCAATGCTAAAAGCGAGCGCACCGCCAACGTTCAAAATAGAGGAGAGTGCAATTAATCGAATATCTCTGCCGCGTTTTTCTCCTTTGTGCGCAGAGAGATGATTCATCCAATGCAGCGGCAGCTGGAGCCGAATGGAAAAAATCTTGATGGCCATTCCTTGGTGTTAACGATGATGACCGTGACTTTTTTGTTTGAAAGAGAGAGAAAAAAAAATGCCTTTCGGGCACAATGACTTGATTTCGGATTCAACCCGTTAGGAATTTTGACAACAAAATAGACTCTAGAATAGCAAAATGCAATTCTGAATTTATAGTATAATGTCTTGTTGATATATTAAAACAAGTCTTTGTATAAAATAATGTAGAAGCAATTTAGTTAAAAATGTGCACAAAAATTCAAAGTTAATAAAATAATCAGACTTGTTTTCAAATTTTCTTTTAAAATAATAACAAAAATTTGTATACAATTTATATCTTCATGCTCTTATTTGCGTTTTTGCCTAATACTGCAATTTAAGGGGAAAAATAAGTTTAATATAATTTAATTTTATGAATAATAAATATCCAAATTTCTAACTGTAAAATTTTGTACTCAAAAACTCCCCGATTGACCATTACAATTTTTAAATTCAGTATATAAAGCTAGAGTAGCAATATTGAGATTTGCACCTTTGATTATATTAAATTTCATTTAAAATTTTCAATGAGAATTTTATGAATGGTTAAAATGTGCGACCATTATTTTGCGTGGGTGAATTTGGGCGTGCAGCATTTGCATGTTTTTAAGTCGGTGCGGCGGAATGGAAACTCTTTTCTTCTTTGGCAAATATGAAGATTTTTTCATCGGCGGGCAAATCCCTTGCGCACACATCAAAAAGCAGACCTTATTCTTATTCCATACTTTTTTTTCTCACAATGCACAGGGTGGGTTTGTTCAGTTTGTTGTCGTGACTGTTGTGCAGTCGGCAGACTCGAATAATAAGAATTGGAAATGCAGCAGTGTTATCTGCATCCGTATCTCTCCGGGGAGGAAAAATTGCTTTTATATTCATTGGAATCGTCGCGAGCGAGAGATGAGTGTTTCCATTCGTGATAATAAAAAAAGACATTACTGTGCCAGTCACTATTTCATTTCTTTCCGTTTATCTGCTCCATGTCGCCGCCGCAGCGAAGTCAAAGCAGAAGAGTGCGTCATACGTTTTCTTCAATGGATATGTTGGAAGTTTTTATCAAAAGTCGTAAAATCTGAGGACAGCTTACTTTATTGCCCACTGTCTAAAAATTCCTGTTGAGACCCGTAAAATTTTTGCCCGAATCGTAATAATCATTCATCTTACCGAATTTTATTGACATTGAGATGGATGGTAGCGCCAAAGACAAAAAATTGCAAGATAAGAAATATCGGCCATTTAATTAACTACAAAAGTCCATTAAAAATTAAACAGACTTCTGAGAAAATAGCAAAGCCGCGAACACAAAACATAAGTAAATTTTTGAGATAGCTTTTATCATTTCGGCACAAATTAAATTGAAGCTTAGTCAATTAATTGATAAGATACCAATATATGAATGCAATTAAAAAAGTCTTAGCAACATCAAATTAGATATTTAAATTTCTCCATTTTCTTGGCACGAGTTCAATACGGAATGCAAATGATTTATATTAATCAGTTTTCTCTTTAGGAAGTATAATACAATTAATTCTACTTCCCATTCTTATGAAATGCTGCTGACATCTCATAGTGGGAGATTAAGTTGTTACTAAATAATAGAGATCAATTTCTGATTCAGGAAGTTCATTATATTAACTCCTCTCCGCGGACGCAATTTCCTCAGAGAGATTTCAAGCGTCATGAATATAATATATGATTCAACCTGTCCCAATTAAAGATCCAATTGGCATTCCCAGCATATTCGCACACTTTCCACAATCCAAATTAGCCGCATTCAAATGAGCCGCGTGCCGGAAAACCCAAGCACTTACTTTGAGGCGCGTGCGAATCGATCGAGCAGGAAAAACGAGGCAATTTCGCAGACCAACCTCAGTAGTTGGCACGAGACAGTGAACGATTCTTTGAATCGTAATTATTTAATCGCAGCCCTGGGAACTTGGCAGCGTTTCTCACATTGTGAAATGCATTTAACAATTTAATTTAAAGTCTCACGTAACGAGACAATAATTAAGTCATCTCGTTAAATTACTCACGAACGATTTGAAACGTTTAAATATTAAAAAATAAAGTAATACACAAGGTTGGCAGAAAAAAAAATCGAAATAAAATCCCTTGACCGCACCTTTGAGCAACAAAGTGTGGAAAAACCGCAGAGCGAAATTCAATAGGCCGCGCGCGATCGACTCTGGCAAAAAAGATCAAAGAAGGACTTTGGCGAGAGTAATCGAGTGGAAAAGTGCTCTTACCACAAAGAGGAAAAGCGAACGAAACGGGTGGTCGTGGTCGTCTGGTGCCGGTTCGCTCACAAAAGCAGCCTCATGTTGTCCGCTGCACCACTGACTGACTGACTGACTGAGTGAACCGCGGGCGCGAACTGCAAGTGAGACCAACGACGGCGGCTCCAGCGGCAGTGGATCGACCGGCCGACGGTGCTGCCACCTTCGCCGGCTCCAGACGCAAGGTCGCCCGCAATGCTGGGGCGTTTTCCGGGTTGCATACACGCGTGCTGCCAATTATTGGAAAATGCATTCGTGTGGAACAAGTTTGATAACGAAAGCACACATTAGTTTTAAATAAAATTCCGTTTATTTTTTTCGCAGAAAAAAAATAAAAATTAATTTTTTCTTTTGTTGATGCTGACAGACTTGACAGAGACAATAAGGGATGTATCATGTTTTATAATGAGGGTAGGGTGGGTTGATGATTAAAGCATTGGCGTGGAATGTGTGTGTGGCGAGGGTGCCGCTGCGGTAGACACGCAGACGGCTTTTCGTGGAAAATTAATTACCAGAGAGAATAGAGAATGACGAGTGGGCGAAAAGATGACCCTCTCATCAGACTTTTTTTAATAATGCACGGGCGCGCATCTGCTTGAGTGAGCTTTCCTTTGTTTATATACTTTTAGATCGTTTATCAAATTTTATCAAACTTTTGCAGAGAGAATAACATTAACACGGTCGCAACACTTTTAAATTGGGTCCGAAAACAGTGGAGAACAGATTAGATTATTTTAGGTTTTATTAAGTTGTTTTTGTCTTTCGTCTATACAAATTACTCCATTGCCCAAACAGGTCACGAGATGCAGGCAAGGGTGCTTTTGGTTTTGTTGTCTTGTGTAACCTTTACTCTAGCAGGTAAAAAATTATATTATTTTCTTTAAAGTTAACAATTGTGTTTAACAAAAAAATTAAATGTTAGAATTTTTAAATTAACACAAATTATAATTTAATTAAGTTAATGTAAATTATGATGTTTAATTTGACTTTTGTTTATTTTTTTTAAAAATGTTTTCAGTTTTTTTAATTATTTAATTTTTGTATTATTTATTTAGTTCAATAAATTTTTAACTACTTTAAGGCTGATGTTTGTTGTGCAACTACTAAAAATTAATCATCAAATATTGTATAATTATCTTCCTAAGCGATTAATGATCCATGCGCCGGGCCTGCCGACTGCGCTGATGTGGCGAACGCGGTGTGCGACCTCAGCGTAGGCCAGTGCGTTTGCGACACTCGATATGTTTTCACCACCGACGGAACCTGCGAGGGAGGTCAGGAATTTTCACTTTAAATCGATACTTTTTTAATATAAAATTGCAGCTGTGAGCAGAGCGTGCATTATCGATCATGGAAAAGCGTGCAATGCAATTCCGTACGCCCTGTGCAGCGTTCCCAGCCTGCTGACCTGCGACTGCACCAACGACTATCTCATATCTGACGACAGGACTTCTTGCAACACACGTAACTAAATAAATAAATCATGTCAGGGGCTTGCTCTTTGCAAATTCAATAACTGGTGCCGAAAAATATAATTTAAAATACATATTTTTTTTAATTAAATATCTAAATTAAAAAAAAAAATATTAATTTTCAGCTGAAGTTGGTGGTCATTGTTTGGACAACGCTCAGTGTTCGGGACTCGGAGCTTCCTCTTGTGTTGACGAGCGGTGCGTTTGTGACGCCGGGCATGTTGAAGGCACCGGTGGTGGCCGTTGCTACCCAAGTACGATATAAGAAGCTCTTAAAACTCAGATTATCTTTTATCTCACAATTCACAATCTCTTATTCAAAACACTTAATTGCTGCGATCTAAATATTGACACTTGTAGTCTCCACCGGACTTTACGAGCGCTGTGAAAATGATGCCCAATGCGTTGCTCTGCACCCTGGCGCTACTTGCCAGGGATTGATTGGGCCAGAGTGCAGGTGCGCGGGGAGATTTATCGAAAACGCCTCAAACACCACTTGTGTTGAAAGTAACATTTTCTCTTCAATTAAATCAAATGAGATTTTTTACTTTTAAAAATTTTGAAATAGTTTCTCCTCAAATTGGCGATTTCTGCGAGGTGCCCATCCAGTGCAGAGATCCGAACTCGAGCTGCCTCGGTGGAACTTGCCAATGCAACTCTGGCTATGTTGCATCAATAGATCAAGTCAACTGCATCCCACGTAAGCGGGCAAATGCATTTGATACAAAATCATACACAATTAAATTTTGTAATTACAGAGGCTGCAGTTGGAGGTTCTTGTTTCCAAAACCAACAATGCCAAAGCGGTTCATGCGTTGGGGGAGTGTGTTCATAAAATTTCCAAATCATGTATAATGAAATTTAAGGACATTTTAGAATGAATATTTTTAACTGAATATAACAAAAGCCAAGAAATACTTTTGATTTAATTTTTATTTTGTCTTTCTCGAGAGCATATGATTCAGAATCCGTCTCGTTTTCTTCAACACATCAAGATCTCATAAGTAACAGCAATAAATATATATATTTTCGTCTTTTTGCGAATATACTTTTTGTGTTCCGTATAATATACTTTTAATTTAATATTTTCCATTAGGTACCAGCCCTTACACGATATGATAAATGACAGAATATTAAGGTAGATAAGAGAGTGGATTGGAAGGTATGTGTGATTGTAAGTCATATGAGGTTTCTTTGGATGATAGAAAAATACAGTTGTCAGAAAACTAGCTATAAATTGTTAAAACCGAATCTATTTTTTCAAAGCTGCTTAATTTTCTTCTAAATTCAAGCGATATTGGGAAAGGGATCAGAGAAAAGGGGGATGAAGAGATTTATCCAATTACACCTATCATACACTTAGAGAGTCACTCAGCAAGATTTTAAAACATTTTTGGGCGCGCCAGGTCAAAATAGACATTTATGATTTTTCTGGCTAGCATATTTATGCGCCTTATTTGTTATCAATAAAAAAATTCGCAAGTATTGTGGCCGGATCGCAAAAATCAAGAAGAGGAAGTATCCTTTTGTAAGGCACATTTAACTCTAACATACACACTCACATTTGGCACTCGTCGCATGTAAAGATGATATTTTTTTGAGTAAAATAGGGTTAGACAGGATATGGCTGGTTGTGTGGTACTAAATATCTTCTTATTTGTTGTCGATAAGCGTTTGCAGTTGCAATACTAAATCACGCGCCAGATTGAGAACAGCCTTGGCATCGTGCCGCTCGGCCATTTCTAAAGCCACAAAATCCATAAATCAATTATCCACTGTATATTAGGACAGAGAGGATTTGATTAACTCACCGTTGAAAAATTTTATGATGTCGGTGAAGTCCATGGCGTTGCTAAGGATGATATCCCTGTAAGTCTCGACCAGTGCCAAGGCCAAGAAGAGGCCAAACTGCTGGGAAGCCACGTGCTTTGAGGCCCAAATTGTTTCCCAGGTGACGAACACGTCATCGTACAGAAGCTCCCGTTTGAAGTCAAGCAAGAACCACCGGTAGCAGAAGTAAAAGTGCGTGTAGTCTCCATGTTGATGCATCAGTTCAAACATTTCCGAGTCAAGAATTTGAATAAGTGACCTAAGAAAAAGAAAACAAAGAATAAACACACCCAATACTATATAAAATAAGTACCTCATGTTAGCAAAATGCGTGTCCATTGCGCCTCCGTTTGGGAAATTTGCCACCATCCTGTCCATCAAGCGGCAGAAGCAAGCATAAGAAAGCGCCTCGTCGTCCATGATAACAAGCAAAGGTGCCACAAGATCGCACATTCCTTGCATATAACCAATGTCCAAGTGTTCCCAAACGTAACTATTTTTTAAATAAATTAAAAAATGAATGTCATACAGAAAGAAAGTCTTACGTGCACATCACATTTCGCAGTTTATCCAAATTTCCCTCAGTAGCAAAATACCAATAATTCCTATCGCATCTTTGTACGTCTTTTTCAATTCGGTGCAAATTCAGGCCATAGTTTTCAAGCAACTCAGTCTGGACAGAGGAATAAAAACATTAATTCTAGTAAAAGTGAGCATTTTATGAACTATTATTATTTTTGTTTTGTTTTAGAGAGCAATAATATGTTGGATTAATTCAAGGAATAATTTTAAAATTGTGTGCTCACCGAATACACTCCGCCCTGTGAGCTTGCTGGGCTCACGGCGCCGGATCGTGAGCCGGGACTAACACCTCCATCAAGTTGCTCCAAAGTTAAGCCTTGTGCGTTTCCATTTACAGTGCTTGGTTCTTCCACCACTTCACTCTGGTTTCCACTGTCTACAGAGGGATTAGTGGTTGTGACAAGAACCGGCTCAGTCTCCACTGTGGATTTTTTTAAAATAAAATTCAATTTGTAATTATAAGATTTATAAATTTAACCACCTTTCTTTGGTTCTTTGTGCTCAGGCTCGGACGGAGCTCCATCTTCAAGCTCTTCGCCCACCCCTTCGTCAGGAGATGAGGACCTTTCCTCCGAAGCCTACATTCATATTTATTAAAAATTCTTTTTTTAAACAAATTTTAAATCTTCAAACCTGCGGTTGTGGTTGTGCTCTGTTGATGCCCTGGAGCAGTTTTCCAGGTTCAGGTGCTTGCTGGTTTGAGTGGTCAACGTCAGGCGCCTCCAGAGAATTAGGTGGGCAAACTGTGGGTCTGCGTCCTTGCCTCGGACCACCTTCGGCGGGAGCCTCCTCCGGTTCGGAATCACTCGACTCGCTCTCCTCAAAAACCTTTGGGGAAAAACAAAGTTCATCTTTATTTATTTTCATTCAATTAGAATTTACATCATTGGCCAAGTCGTGATTGACCTGTGGAGGAGCATCTCCAGCGTTGCTGGTGCTTTCCGAGCTGAGTTTGGCCAAATTAGCTGCCATGACTTCCTTGTCCCTCTGGCGGACGATGGCCTCGACGGCCAGCCACTCGGACATGGTGGTTTCGTAGGCCCTGCGGACGCTCAAGTCCTGCTCCTTCTTTTCCTCCTCAGTGCTGGCAAATGGAATGTGTCCCAACAGATAGGGCCACACTTGTTTCCTGATCGACGGCGCCACTCCTCCGTAATAAGTGAGACGGAACACTTCGGCTTCGTCAGGCAAATTTCCATTAGAGGTCATCTCGAGCCACTTTTCCTCAGTCAGGCCGGCAGAAGCATCCGTCGGAGATTGTGCAGATATTATGGCCGAGTGGACGAGACCGGACAGGTGCGTGCGGACAGTGGTCAGGTGGCGGCAGTAGGCGAGCCACCCGTAAAACGCGCGCGAGATGATCTGCCGCTTCATTGTGTCGCACAGCAACTGGATCGAGTCGCCGGGCGAAATTTTAAACGCCTTTGGGACTGGAGGAGGCGACGGTTCTGGCGGTCCTCCGTCCAGGCTGATTGACTTGGAAGAGGAGGTTGAGCTGGCTGTCGAGGTGGAGAAAAGTGAAGAGCGTGTGCCAGGTGACGGGGGCACCGGGCTACGAGGGAAGAACCACTCGGAGATGTCTTCGTGGTTGGCCGCCTTGCTGATGATTCTGAACACATAGTCGGACGCCTCTTCCTCTTCAATGCTGCTGCAGCTGTTTATGCTGGAACTGCTGGAGAAAATGCCTGGCTTTTCCAAGACGGCCCTAGCTTTGCGGCGGAGGCGCGGAAAAACTTTGCCTGAAATAATTTGAATCATTTAAGAAAATTATACAATTTTTATGGCAAAAAGGTTAATCAATACTATAATTTAAATTTTATTTAATGCTATAAAAATAAACGTGGAAATTTTTTAACTATATTCGTAATTTTTTCTAAATTCATGTAATTCATAAGTCCCTTGTTTATTATTGAAATTGAATTAAATTTAATATTGTAGCAAGGACATAATTTTTCATAATTCGCGATCAGATAATTTAATATTTTTTATGAAAACATGCACTAGAGAGGTTATCCCTCCTGCTAAAAATTACTCAATATTATAATATTGGTTAAATAAAAAACAAATTATGCAAGAAAAAAATATTTTTAATTATTTTTATACTGTGTGATACGGTGTATATAATGCTGTTAGTGATTAAATTTTTATAAATGTATTTTTAAATTTTTGATATAACTCTCCATAATTGTACAGTAAAAAATTACCAATTTACTAAAAAGCATTAAAAGAGAAATTGAAAAATGATGGTCTGATCCTGATCCTATTCTGATCACTTTTATTTGTACTGACCGCACTGACCTTTGCCTCTTTGTGACCAGAGCGGCGGGTCAAGTTGACCGTGCGGCAGTAATCCCGTCTCGAGGCAGGAGAGAAAAGCTAAGAGATGGCCACCCCGGGGGAAATGAATGGGCGGCCGCTGAACTCCATCTAGCCCGACAAGAACTACAGTTCCACCACTGTCAGCTGCACGAGCGAAAGAGGCAATTTAGTCGAGAGGGTTTTACAATAATACTGTCGCAACCGCCTCACCTTGCTGGTGGCAGTGCACGTAGACAATGTCGTCCACATTCACATGCAGAGCGTAGTCCCAGTACAAGCTAAGGCAAATAAATATTTAAGTTTCTTAATAACTCAAGAACGTGTCAGTGTGATTAACTCAATTAGCTGTTATTTTGAATTTAAAAATCCACCACCAAAAAAGTTAAACTCGAGTCTTACTAATCAATGAGAGCGGTGGAATGGCGCCTCAAAAGAGACACAGGTGCAATAGGAGGAGATCCCCTGACAGGTAAACTAAACCTTCTGAACACCGCATCAACGATTTTATGATTAACATTTGATTTTCATTGGACGGGAAATTATGCTCACCTCTTGTTCGCGGTGTCCTGGGGTGCTTCATTATATCCATTCATCAACTGGTTGGGGGTCCATTTTATGGTGAGGGCGTTGGGGCTTTGGTGCAGCGACAAATACCCTGGGATGGGCTCAGTCAAGTCTTTCTGCAAGGACGATTCGCGATTACATCAGATGTGTGTGCACGGTAATTAAAGGCACGCGCAGTCCCAAAAATAATTGCATGCCATTAGGCTTCGGTCGTTTGCCTCGCGAGAAATTAATGGCTAACAAAGGTGGATCATTAATTTCGCGTGTGACACCGCAAGGCCGAGCCTCAAAGGATGATGGATGCGCTCACCGGCAGTACAAGGACGTTGTTTTTGCCATAGAGGAGGGTGGCCCTGCTGTTTTGGTGCAGACTCTCCACGTACTCCTTGGCGCAGCTAGAGGTCAAAGGTCGGGGCATCGATTCCTCTGTAGTGGTCACTCCGTGCAAACTGCGCCGGAACTGCCGACAGACATTCCAGGGATAATCAAGTCAATTTCGAGCGGCTGCCGAGCGAGCGACGTCGTTGCTCGCCAAATTGAATCAGGGCAAGTATAAGAGAGGAGGTGCAGAAATTCGATTTGCAGGCCAGGGATGGATGTGTGGTTGTGGTAAAACCAACCTCAGTTGATTGCGACATTGTGTTTTTATTTGGTTAGAAGAGAAATGTTTTGCAAAGGGGGAAATGAAACATACTTGTCTTAGAATTTTCTTAAAGTGAAAATAACTAATAACTATTGTTAAAATTTCCATTAACTAATAAAAAAATATTTCAAGTGCTCAATTGTTTTGCTCTTAGGCAGGGATTTAATTAAACTACGGAATATTAGAATTACCGAAAGTTGTTATTAAGTAATTTAATTTTTATAAAGCAATTTATGTGGAAGGATGCTTAAATTTGCTTAAAATTTCAAACTCTGTAAGCTGGTTTTAAGTTGCTTGATGCTCGGAGCACAGAGCAGCCAGGGGCAAATGTCAATATCCATTATAATTCATATTTGAGTGGTCGCCATCTTTACGACCTTGGAAATGGCAAGTCAGCGTCTCTGTTTTGCACGCAGATGGCAACAGGACATTTAACACAAAAATGAGAAGGCAGTTCTCCAGCTCCTTCTTGAATAATTAAGAAAACTGTGCTGTGCTCACCAGACTTGACATTTTGCGAGCGGAAATAGGTCAAGAATATAAACAAAAGCTGATAAATAAGACTGCGAGATTAGATACGGCGAAAATCAATTACAGCAGAGCTGGAAATGGGTAAAGAAACAAACTGGAAATGAAATCTAAAGAATGGGATAAAAGCAGATAGAGAATAAATTGCTGTAGCATCGCGAGTAAACAAAGGGCAGATAATTAGATAATTGCCGCTTGGCCTCAGAGCCTTTGAGAACGAAGGAGCAAAAAGATAAGGTAATGTTTGCTGACCACTACAGCAGCATAATTTCCCCCGAGTACAATTACGGCCCGGGAGCGAGGGAAACACGCCAGGCTGACCGACGTATGGAGCGCCTGCAAAGCGTGATTTTATGCAACCGGGCAGAATATGCTGCTCAGCGGGCTGCATAAGCAGATCGGGGATCAATAGGGCGTGAAGGAGCAGCACGGATTTGTACTCACGTTGAGCGCGGGTCTCCTTGTGACCGGCGGAGTGCTCGAGTTGTGACCTGAAATGCGGTGCCGCTGGACGAGTTCATCTGCCGGAGGGTCGGTCCAAAAGTGGTCCTGCGTTTTGGTGCGCGAGTAGTCGAGGGCACACGGTCCAACTGTGTGGGCAACCAGAAGGAACATTAGATGAGCAGGCGAGCAGAGAAGTTTCGAGGCGCAATTTAGGCTCGGATCGCGAAAAAGAAGTCAACCTGTTTGAAGCACGAGGGGTGGCGGGGCTGCCAGGGGGCGCCTGGCGATCAATACGTGCGTGAACATGGCCGTCGCTCACAACTTGTTGATTCTCTACATGGGGCGAGGGTGTATTGTTCGCCAGCACACGCCCTTTCTGTTACACATTGCAAGTTTTTTCCTAATGCGACTGCTGCAAAGCTCCTTGATTGAATGGGCTTTTTAAAAATGACAAGGCTTTTTTGAATTAAATAAAGAAGATATCACTCTATTTTTTTTTTAATTTTTCACGATAGTTATTGCCTTATTTAAAACAAAATGCTTGGTTGCAGATTTTTGAACGTTTTCGCGTTTGCACATTCTTAATTTTGATTCAATAATTTAATTTTACCTCAGGTTCTTTACTTTTCATTACTGTTGTAAAGTTTTTGGTGAAAATAAAATTCTCAAAACGTACTAATTTTTTGAAAATTTAAAATTAGTTCACTCCAGTTTCGAATCGCATTGCAAACCTACACATTGTTTGAAACATATCACATATGTCGTCACTTTAGTAATTTCGCTAAAAGACGGTTTAAGCGTTTTGCTTGAATCCGTGTGACATATTCTGGGTGTTGATTGAATTTTTATTTTCATCTCCATAATTAGGTTTAATTTTATGTAATTTGTGTCAAAATTAAATATTCACCTCATATTATTCTTTAAGTACGGAAAATAATGTTGCATTTAGTTTCAAATGAATGTTTATTCAATTAAAACTTAAATATCAATTAGCTATGGCGTTGTAGATTTAACTTTGAAGATTTGAAGGATTCTAAGTGAGTTTATGCTTGAGAAAATTTATGCAAATAGAGTCGTCGCCATTTAGCAGAAAATTTCTGCGGCGCAAATCTCTGCCCCGAAAGTGCTCAGTGCCTCGCCCACACGTTGATATAGAAAATCCTTATTTTTTCGCCAACTCTTTTCAAGAATGGTAAACACATTTTCTCGACACCAGCTCCAAATGCAAATCCGTCGAAAGAGCGGCCTGGGTGCGACAATGCTTCGCTCTTGATTTTATTATCTGCCGGCAGAGACGCTGAAGGCGAGCAGAGCAATAAAATTATGCATGCAAAGGCAGATGGATTCCGCTGCCTAGAGGAAAAGGCACAACGCGCGGGGACAAGCACAGTACGAAAGTGGAACGGAATTTGTGGTGGAGAACGCGAAAAGACGACAAATTCTATTTTTATTATTGCTCTCAAGAAATTTTCCTTGTAATTTTTTTTCCATATCATTTGACCTTTTATTTTTAAGTATCTGCAAAGGGTCTGGTTGTTTCCTTTGAAACCCGCAAGAAATTTTTTTAGTATATTATATATCAATATATCTCGTATTCCCAAACATAACGTTGCTTTTTTGGCTTTTTAATAGTAACAAAAAGATAATATTCTTGGATGCTTATATTAAAAAAATTATGCAAAGATTTTAATGCGTCCTATAAAATATTCACAAGGACTTATGCAACTTGCTGGACAGACATGTCAAGCAGGTTGCATTTTGAACAACTTTGATAATTTTTTGCTTCAAATTCAAAGGAACAGAAGTAAAATCAAAGTGTTTTAGTGTCGATTAAATTTTAAGATGAATTAATTTTGCTTATTTATTAAATTATATGAAAACGGACAATTTACTCCATGAAATAATACAATTACACAACAGTGTAACGCAAAGTAAGAATAACGCGGCATATGAACAAATAATATAAATCAGAATAGAGAACAAAGAGTTCATTTAAAGACAAGTTTGAAATTGTTTGAAAGCCAGAGGCATATTATGTGTCCCGCTTGTTGGAAATAAACAATTGAACAATCAAATCAAAGTACCCACAATAGTAAATAATAGGCTGGCAAATGGTAACAACGGCGTGTCGATTTTCACAGTCCTGGCAATTATTGTAATGGTGCCCATTGTGTGCATTACGTACATTTGCGTTAACAACAGAGCGTGGCGCTTGCGGCAAAATAACGCGCGCGCTTTGTTTGTGCGCTCTAATGGCCGCGAGGCAGACGACGGAAAAGCCTCGTCACCTCGGGAATAAAGATGCTCATTAAGCTGGAAATTTCGCTCGCCCATCTAGCATATGGCTCAAAGAAGGAGGCGTCCCACTTTTCCAGCGCCAGGAATTCTCTCCCCTAAGAGAGTAAACACTGCGTTGCCGCCGTTGCATAAAAATGTAATTTATTTTCTGACGCCCCAGAGATAAAGTGCGTTGAAAAACGGGTCAAGCGAAAGGAAGTGTGAGCCGCTCTTGTTTTGATAAAAATAAATTGCTTGCGGGTGACGAATGAGCTGCGAGAATATTCACTGGCTTCTTTTCTGCCGTTCAGTTTGAGAAGCCCTGCATTTGCAGAGCCGGCTCGATCGAGCGAAAAATTTCACAACGAGTAAACATATTTTTCCAATATCAAAAGCGTGCGGGAGCAGATGCACTTCATTGCTTTTATATCTCATACTCGGGCTCTCTGAGGATTTGAAAGTGGATCATTGAGAGAGCTTTGATTTAACGCGGAAAATCGTTTGAATCCATCAGCTTAAAAATTCATTACGCAAACATCACCATTGTAAAATGATTGATTTATAGTTATTTAACGGAAATCACTCACCTAAAAGAGAGCTAAGTATTGATCCGTAGTCAGGGTCTGAAACGAGCGCGTCCTTTTCATAATACTTGCTGGAAGAAAAAATACAAGAAAAAAAATTATAATTTCGTATTTTTATTGTAAAGTAATTTATGCTAATATTATTTAATTAAAAATAACTTGATCATTTATCATTTCCAAAATATGCCAAAAGTATACCAGCTATGAAAATCAGGCCAATTATTAAGTGAAAATCTGTACAACTTTAAGATTTAAATGTTGAGAGGCGGCAGGTTTAGTCTTTAAATAGTTTTACAATAAATCTCAAAAATTTCTTTTGGATAAATACTCTTTTACAAATGCATTTTTTCTATCTACCGATTGTTTTAATTTTGAAAACAAGTACAAAGCAGAAATAAGATTTTAAAAATTTAGATGTATTCCAATTATGCTCTCTATTTGGATACTTAAGAATACTATTAAAATATAAATAATGTGAGTGTTAAATCAAACTTTAAATTTGGCATTGATTTTCAATGATATATCATATATCCATTTAGAATTAATTTGATAATTGATTGCATCAAAATTCTAGTTATCTACAGCAGAATTCAGGCATAAATAAATTTAATGAATTTCTTTAAAATTTATTTAATAAACTTAAAACAAAAAGCGGAAATCAAACTGGTCAAAATGTATTTACAATATTAACATAAAATGCTCAAAATACCTGCTATTTTGTACCAAGTGGTCGATAATCTTCGCAAGCTGCTTTTCAAAAAGCGCCAGCCGAAGCCAGAGATACCGAGGCGTTGCCGGCGCATTTGCGTTTCCAGACGTGGACAAAGAGTTGCAGCTGTTGGACAAAACGCCGCTGGCCGAATTTTTCTTGATCAGCTGAGGCTTGATGAGTCTGTTGGTGCTGTCACCGCTGGACGACGAGCGCCGGTTCGGCTCAGAGTTTTCCACGTCCTGCACCATCTGCGAGATCGTTGCGGCCGGAGGGAAACTTTTGCCAACTTTGTGCAAAAGCGCCGTTGTTGAGCTTGTCTTGAACAGTCCCAGCGCCCGCCGACGAAGCCCCTGCGAAAGGCACGTCTCCACGGCAGCTGTAAGACGAGGAAAGTTGCAGGTTTTTTGGAATAAGTTTTTAAAGTAAAAATGGAACGTATTTACTTTCGGCACATAACCGTTTCTTACAAATATGGGATGATAAAAGCTCCAAAAAGTTGAGTAAACTTTTTTGTGAGAAATAAAAAGAAAGGAGTACATTTTTATTGAAAAAAAAAGTACAAGACAAACAGTTTCAGCCTCAGGCTGCGGTCATATTGCATTATTAATTTTAATATATTTACTAAACTATAAGTTATATGTAAATAAGGAAATCGACTTTTAATGCTATGAAAATTTAGTAGGTCTAATTATTATGCGCCTTTCATGACATTTTCGAGCTTTTTTGGTTTGTTTATTCAAAAGGCGTTTTTGGGCGTTTTCTTGCACAAAAATCTAATTAAATATCAAACAATTTAAAGGTTCACTTTTGCTCAAGCATCCTAATTTCTTCAAAAAAATTTCAAAAGTTAAAAGTTGGTTCTTAAGATTCCATGTTTAGAGTAAAGCTCTGGAAAAATTTAATAACCTTCAAAGAAATAAAATTTTAAACATTTCTAATGGATGAAATAAATTCTGTGCCACTTTGCAGCTCCTAAAAAAATTTGAATATTCTCTCATCTTGATCGAGCTGTTAAGGGAAAACAGTTTTCTTTGAAGCCAACAAAGGAGGATGAAAGTGCGTATATCTGCTTGCTACAATGCGCCCCTGGGAAAAAAGATTCGCGAAACGAGACGTCTTTTTAAAAGAGAGAAAGAGATCAACGTTGGAGATTCACTGACAAAATCAAAGGGGTTGTGTCAAAAGCCAAAAGACGTGTTTTTCTCTCTTTAGAGGGCGGAGATATAAAGAAGTTGCCTTTCACGAAAAAAACATTTTCTCCTCATTCTCTTTCATTGGCACGGAAAAGAAAAGATGTTCCTTGAAGTCGCCTTGTGCACTAGTTTATTGATTGCAGGAGCAAGGGGTGTCGTTTCTGTCAAGGCCGACGAGCGCTTGTGGCACTAAAGCATCCCGTGTGTGTCAAATGAGGTGCATATTAAGCGGCGAACGTAGCAAACATGCGGGTGATGATGAAGTGGGTCAGAACAAAGGAGGTAAGGAGAAAGACCGGCGAGAGCGATACGCACCGCACAGGGAGGTGATGGAACTGCTGTCCTCGTGAACAAACTTCCTCGTCACGGCCTCCTCCATTATCTGCTTCACCTGTAATCAAAAATTCCAGCGTGCAGTTCATATCACCCTTGGACGAATGACCGAGAAAGTGCTAGTAATTGTCAAGAAATTAAAAAGTTGCCTTGCCCTTATTTTTCTTAACCTGACAAAAATGTGTCGCAAACATGCAAGAAATTAAAAAAAATTTTAACTTGGTGTTTGACAAGATTTTCATATTATTTTAAACAATAGCCAGACATACATAAACTAAAAACTCCTGACAAAGAGAATAACACACCTTGTTTACAATAAAATAATGATTAAATAAAACGAAAAATAAATATAAAACTAAAAAGACAGCTATTGTTTATATAGTATAAGGAACAGTTTTTTGTTCCTCAAAATTTAGCTCACATGGAAAGTTCAACAGTTCAAAAGTTCAAATGATGTTTATGTTGTAAATTTATTTTAAAAAGAATAAATTTCTTTTAAGCGGAAATATCCTTGATCGAGATATGCTGGTTTTTTCCGTCGAGAACTTACCGTCATGGTTTAAATCAGGTGCTTTTTAGGCAAATTCTTTACAATTGGGGGTTGCCTAGCTCGAAGTGACTTTCTTATTATCCGAGGTAAAAAGTGACCTTTCATTTGTTTTCTACAAACTTGTCTGTGCTTTGATAAAAATGTAATCCAAAGCATTGGTTTTCCGGCCAGCAATATTCCTTTCCGCTTTTAAATATTTGTAATTTGAATAGAAATTAATAATAATGTTGCATATTTAAGAGCCGATCTTTTGCTTGTTTAAATAGTGAACTTTTTCAATAATAAAAAAAAAACAGCTCGATTCAGATTTGAAAATTTTAACAAGGATAATAATAATTAAAGGCTTTTAAATTACTAAAATTTAATGAAAAAAAATGACGTATATTTTCGCATAATTAGTTTAATTATTATAATAAGCGATATAATCCTCTGTATAGCAGATTATTGACATAATTATTCAATTTGCAATAATATTGTCACATAAGTGGAACAATATATTGGCTACTGGAAAAGATAATAGCTTTTTTATTATGACACGCACGAAATTGTTTTAATTATTAAAAGGGCTGTGGGTGCGTTTGAAATCGATATATTGGTGGGGTTGCACACAAAGCTTTATAGTTCGTAGTCTGTTGATGAAGATTGCTCTTAATTTTCAAAAGTCACGCACTAAAACAAACCGCGGAAAATCAATTTACCAATCAATTGCCAACGGCACGAAGCAAAGCCTGCTTCCAGCAAAGTTCTTGCGCCCGCTGCTTTTCTCCGGAGATCGCTTTGATTAAAATCTAACACGGTTGCGAAAAGGACGTTGAGTGCTGCTTTTCCCCCAAACCAATTCACCCTCTCGCTATGTGTCAAGAAGGAACAACGCGACCATCTATATATATTTCCGATAATGGTAAATTTTTTCCGCCTTATTTTCATAAGGGCTCTCGCTGCTTGGCACGCCATTAGCGAAATTGTAAAAATAAATTCTCCAAGATCCGGAGCTTTTCAGGATTTTGGCAAGTGCGAGTGTGTTTTGGCGTGCAAAAAGAGAGGCAAAGCTGACGTCAGAGAGCTTTCAGTTGCCATGACGACCGCACCATCACGGACCCAAATAACAAAATCTCGGTGCTCTTTACGGTAATGTGTGTGCGTGTTTGTATCGCGCCCAGTGCATCATATGCTTGAGTAATAATAAAAAGGCCGGACCATAACACGACACTCACCTCCTTCTTCACATTTTTGATCAGCTTATCCTTGTAGGTGTCCGGCGCAGCATCTGCAACAAATCGGTTTCCTACATAGATTAAATGGACAAAAACACACCAAAGGCTTTTAATGGGGGATTTTCCGTCGCCACAGAAATTAAGCCTCGCACTAAAGCTGGTGTGGCGACGCCGCTTTGGTCTCCGAAAGATTCGCCGCGGCGTTATCCTTATCGCCCCCCGCATTTCCTTCCGCAAATTGTATACAATTTTGATAAGGAAAAGCAAGCACGTATCCACGACTGCTTTCCTCCTGTTCCGCCGGCACTAATTGGACAGTAATGATCGTGTCTGCTGCCATAACGAGTCACCAGGCAACCGCTTTTGTCGCGCGCTCTCGGCTAGAAAAATTTGTTGCATTGTATTGGGACGAGGGTGGATTTTTCGCGGCGTCTCCCGGCGATGCGGCACACACGACCTCGTCCCATTCACAACACGTGTCGTGTGGATGAGAGAGGCCTTTCAGAGGAGCGCTTTTATTTAATTATGATCGTCTCTGCTGTGTAGAAATTATAACAAATTATACAATCTAAAGATAGTTTTTTTTTAAATTTATTTAAATAAAAAAGATATTGAATATTGATTAAACATAAAAGTTTTATGACATGCACAATTAAAGTGGAGAGTTGTGAAGAGGTAAAAAAATTAAATTTGATAAATCAAAAGTAACTAATTTAATTATTTCCCAATTCGAGTGGTTTCTTTGGGTTTTAAAAAGTCTCAAAAAAGGTAGAAAAATTGTTATTTTAGAGGAAGAAATTGTTGATATTCTTTTTCAGTGAGCACGAGACGAATGTTTGTTAAATAAATTTACTATGTATGCTTTGTTAAAATAATAATAAACAACTTTAATTTTCTTAAAAATTTTTTTCTCCACAAAATTGTATATCATTGATTTAATTTTAAAAATTGATAATATTAAACTAGTACATTAATTATCTTACAAATCAGCAATATAAAAGTTTAAAGAAAAAAGGTCAGGCTGGCTTTGCAGCAAAAAAAGATGAAAACGAAATTTCAAGAACAGTTAATATAATAAAACAAAGTATTTCCATCATCGACTTTTATGAATTAAGATAAGATGATGATGAATCAGATCAGACTCAAATTTTCCTCATTAAGGCCAATTCTTAATTCAACCATGAGTTTTTTGGGCTATATCTTCTACAAAATATTGTATAATAAAGTAAACTTGTCAAAATTTGTTTCAGAACGAAATAAAGTGATAATATATATCAAGTAATAAACTCCGTTATGGAACTAGCTGGTTAATCAGTTGTGCGCCCTCAAGGGATGCATTTCGCAAAAGTTTTGACAGAGCAAAGTTGCGGAGCTCGAGAGAGCAGTCGTGAAAGCTTTTCCGCCGGAGAGGCAACGGGAATATCTGAATATTACATCTGTGCGGGCTGCTGCCAAGCCAACTTGCAAACGGCACTCGCAGGGCAATCAAATAACTCGGTGGCTGATCAGACCGGCAATAATTTTTATCTACCCGTGCGGAGTTGATCATTTTGCGTAGGCGCTGTTATGCTACCCGCCGGTGGGCAGCTTAAATGGAAAAGCTGCGAGCCAAAAACTTTTCTCATTATTGTCAGGATGATTGAGAGAGGATAACTCTGCACCCTCATATGTACGCTCAAAGAGAAGAACATTACAACAAGATCGATAAACGATGAAAGATGTGTAACACACGAGAGCTGAGAGAGGCAAATAAATTTCCGCCCGTATGCTTTCCGCCTGCACCATCATATTATGGAATAAATTCGTTTCATCCGCGACACGTTCGTCGTTTGGATAATAAAATTTCCATCTCACGCTTCTGATCCTAATGAAAAAGCGCCGTGCTCGTATTTGCACCAGTCGTCTCGCACGACCAGTTCGTGGGTGGACGGAAAATCGATAAAGTGCAGTGCGAAAATTGCCTAATGCGTGAGATGGTGCTCGGGCGGCCCTACTCTCATACACCTGCGTGTCGCGCTCGCGGATTTCGCCCTCTAAACGACGACAAACCAAGAGCAATAGTGTACCTGTTGATATGAATGACATGGTTGGTGCACGTCCTCCCTGCACTCTTTACAAACTCGGTCTGCCTGCACAGTACAACGCGACTTTACGCTATACTACCCAGTACCCACCATACACGACAACTCGCCAACCCCACCACCCTCCTGTCCATTATTATACGCGCGCGCACGTCTCTGGATCTTCGTCAGTTTTGCCAACTACACCGAAAATTTTGATGATATAAATTTTAAACAGTTTCCATAAATTTGATAAATTAAAAATATAATTAGATTTAAATTAAAAAAAACTCTAGTTACTAAAATTTTATGTAATTTTTGTCAGAAAAATAATATTTTTGTAACCTAAATTGAAAACATAGGAAAAAAACTTTCTGTTTGGTTGGCAAAATTAGTATTGGTAAAATCTCTTCAGATAAATACAAGAGGCGTTCCAGCTGATTTTGACAAACGAGTAATAAATTATTTTTTGATTCGGCCTTAATTCACTTAAATAATCTCATGATCACTTTGATTTTTAAAAAATGAATTCGAATTTGTCTGGAGGGCGACTCAATATCGCCGCTTTGCAAGATTTCGCTCGCAGAGAATTGATTTCTATGCTAGAAGATGGTCCCAAGGTGTGTAAATTTCCTACAATCACTCCTTTTTAAGTGTATACAGCAAATGATTTATAAAAATTAATTATTTAGACACTCGTCTGGGATGAAGGTCTCATCGGACCTGTCAGCCTCGTGGCTCCCTATAATCTCCTGAAAGAGCAAGAATTCAATCAGATGTTTTCTTTAAGCGAAGGTTCGATCAGCTCCTCCACAAGTCGGACGGTAATTTTCCTCACTCGGCCTCTTCCAAAGCTGATGGACAGCATTGCTGAACACGTCCACAAGTAAATTTAAAAGAGTTTTTGTCCGTAACTTTTACTGACATTTAAATTTTTTTAGTGAGGAACGTAAAGGACAAAGACGAGACTTTCACATAATTTTTGTACCTCGGAAAACTTGGCTTTGCGAAACGAGATTGAAAAACCGAGGCGTTTACGGAAACTTCAAAGGCAACATCCACGAGTGGGCCTGCGACATTTACCCTGTGGATAGTGACGTCATGTCCATGGAGCAGCCAGCAGCTTTCAAGGAACTGATCATTGAGGAGGATCCGACTTGCATCTACAGCGTTGCACAGGGTCTATCAACTTTGCAGGAGTTATTCGGTCCCATTGCAAAGGTGTCCGGTCAGGGAAAAGCAGCCAAGCAGGTTTTAGATCTGCTCAGAAGGATTAAAGCTGAGAAAGGCGCTCCAGAAAAGTCTTCTGGAATTGACCATTTAATTGTTCTGGACCGCGGAATTGATTTGCTGAGTCCTGTGGCAACCCAGCTAACTTACGAAGGGCTCATCGATGAACTTTTCGGAATTAATCAAAGTAAAATTTTGAACAAAATTAATTGAATAATCTGAATTGATCAATTTTGTTTCAGCCAAAGTGATTATGCCTGCTGAAAAATTTGGGCAAGGAGAGGAGCAAGGCAAAAAGACTATTATTCTCAACTCCGGAGAGGAGTTATTTGCAGAATTAAGGCTTGTTTTTTATTAGAATTGAAATCAAAACCTAACTTTCTATTATTCCACATTAATTTTAGAGATAAAAATTTCTCTGCTGTTGGAAACGCCCTCAGTCGAAAAGCACGGATAATCGCAGCCGAGTTCGATTCTCGACATGGGCAAACTGTCCAACAAATGAAGCAGTTTGTGGCTCGGCTTCCACAGATGACACTGGCAAAGCAGTCTCTGGCCACTCGTAATTTTTAAAGCTTCCTAATCCTAAAAAAGAGTCTTTATAAAACAATTTTTCTGTAGACACAACTATAGCTGAGCTGATCAAGGAAATCACGGATTCGTTTCCATTTATGGACTCGCTCCTTGTAGAGCAGGAATTTATGAATGGGATAGACACAGACAAAGCTCATCCGTTCATCGAGGACCAAATAGCTCAAAAAGAGGATTTATTGAAAGTAAATTTTTTTATTATAGCTAAAATGAATCAATAAATTTTTTATGATTTTTAAGGTGCTTCGACTTATTTGCATCCAGAGCATTACCAACAGTGGCCTTAAACCAAAGGTGCTGGATTACTACAAACGAGAAATTGTCCATGTTTATGGCTTCGAACATCTTCTCACTTTGACCAATCTCGAGAAAGCTGGTCTCTTGAGATCACAAGTATTATTAAACTTGATTTCTGTTGGAAAATTTACTAAATAATTTAATTTCAGCAAAGTGCCAGGCCATTTACGGTCCTCCGCAAGACCCTGAGGCTTGTCGTCCAGGACGGCAGCGAGTCAAATCCAACTGACATGAGCTACGTCCACTCCGTTTACGCCCCTTTGACAGCAAGACTGGTGCAGCATCTGGTTTACAAACCAGGAGGGTGGAAGGCAATCCAAGATGTGCTCAGTTCATTGCCAGGACCCACTATATTGGAGGAGCCCCTCTGTGAAGTGCAACCCTTGGACAGCTCGAAAGTCATTGTCGTCTTTTTCGTAGGGGGTTGCACCATGGCAGAAATTTCTGCCCTGCGATTTTTGGCACAGCAAGAAGAAGGTTTGAGCAAATTTTTTGTTGCATTTAAAATTCAAATAAAATTTAAATATTTCAGCTCCAGTTGAGCTTATTGTGGCAACAACAGCCATTATCAATGGAAACAATTTCTTAAGAAATCTCATGGAAGTCGTCAAATGATCGCCAAAATAATTATTAGCATTCCTAAATTAAACATGAAGTCAAATTATATGTATCACAAAAAGTAAGTTTACTTGACATTGTTATGTTTTACGTAAACGTAAGATTTATTTTCTATTTTCACAATTAAAAAAAGCATATTGCCTTGAAGAACAGTGTCATTTTTTAATTATTAACTTTAACAACAGATTGAATAATCACTGGTTAAGAACATAACAGGTTAAAAGATTAACAATCACAGTCTAGGTTTGTTTGTTGAGAAAAGTGGACACGATCCGTACAAATTCCGACGGCTGGTCCGAGTGGACCCAGTGGCCAGCACCTTGGACTCGCTCAAACTCAGCATTTGGGAAAATTCGTTTGATTGACTCAGTTTCTGATTCTTTGATGTAGTCGGATAAAGCACCTGCAATAAATAGGGTCGGTCCTTCGTACACCTTGGCAACTGGAGGGAAATCTGCTACTTGCTTGGCGAAGCACCTCTGCAGAACGTCAAGATTGACCCTCCACTTACAACCACCTTCCCCTGTTTCGACTAGGTTGGTCAGCAAGAACTGGCGTATTCCAATATCCTTTTAAAATAAATTAAAAAAAACGGCTTTCACGAAATAATTAGTCACAACTTACATGCACAACCTTACTCAATTGGTTGTCTGCAAGCTTCTTAGCTGTGAGGAGTGGCACTTTTGGGGGCAGATCGACTTTTCGCATTGCTTCTAAAAAAGCACCAATCAAATGTATACTTTTGCTAGTTCCAATTGGAGAAATATCGACTACAATAAGTCCTCGAACCAACTCGGGCTGAAAAAAATTAATATAATAATTTTATTTCAATGAGTGATTATTTTAGCATACTGAGCAATTGGTAATTAAAATGATCTCTAATTTAACTAACATAAAGCAGAGCTGTCAGCATCATTGCCCTTCCACCCATGCTGTGACCCAGCAGGATGGACTGATCAATTTTAAGCAGAGTGAGCAGCGCTCGGACGTCCTCCGCCATGTGATTGTAGCTAAGGTTCTCGTCGTGCGGACTGTCCCCGTGGTTCCTGGCGTCTACGGCCACCACCTTCCGGCCTGTTTTGGCGTGCAGACTTTTGGACAGTGACCGCCAGTTAGACTTTGAGCCCAGAAGGCCGTGCATGATGACAAGAGGGCAGGTTGAGGGCACTTTCGTCGATTCGTAAGACGAGTAGGACATCTGGACGGGTTGGATTCTGCAAGTTTCAATTTGATAAAATGTTTTGGTTATGTGGATCAAAGTTCACTGACCTATCGGTTTGAGGGGTTGTGCAGTTGGCGCTGGAAAAGAGTCGGTGACATGGTGACACCAGTCGGATTTCTTTTTTCAAAGAGATCAGTCTCTCCAGCCGCATTTCTTAAGGTTGATTTTTTACTTCTTGGTGGGTAAATCGAGCGATTAAATTTTTGAGAGGGCGACTCTAACATGAATGAGGGTACAGTTGATTTTCCCCGCCGAGAAAGCCCACTTTTCTTTGAGGGCGAGCTAAGGACGAGTTGGCCAATGTTGTGGTTTTTCAATTTGCCGCTCTCAGCGCTTTGCGGCTCGGCTCGCTCGATAAAATAAAGTAACCGGTATATGTATATGAATTTATAGCACAAATCGGTTTGCTCAGAGATCATTGCGCAATATTATATAGCACGAATATTTAATTTTTTTATCATATTCATATTATAAAAAAATATTAAAAATTCTGATCTAAGATCGTTGAAAATGACCCTGATGTGACCTCTGCATCTGCAGTGCTGTCCTAAAAGATGTAAACACTGGCATACCAGCTCTCTGGAGGGCTTTTCATTAAAAGTAATATTTCATTTTAAAAATAAATTATCCTATTTATGTATTATCAAAGTCTTCATTGCCAGTCTATGTTAATTTTTTTAGGAAAGAGGACACAATCTGGACGAATTTAGAAGGCTGGTCAGAGTGGATTGAGTGGCCAGCTCCTTCAACCCGCTCAAACTCGGCATTGGGAAAAATTCGTTTGATTTCCTCTGCGTCTGAATCTTTGATGTAATCGGACAAAGCGCCTTTAATAAATAGGGTTGGCCCATTGTACACGTTTGTGACAAGAGGAAAATTTGCAACTTGTTTCACAAGGTATCGCTGCAAAACGTCCAAATTGACCCTCCATTTACAGTCACCTTCCTCTGTTTCTAATAAATTTGTCAGCAAAAACTGGCGGGTTGCAATGTCCTTGAAAATATTAATTTAAAAATTTAAAAAAATCAATGTTATTACTGATTTACTTTCACAACCGTGCTCAATTGTCGGTCTGCTATATTCTTGGCTATAAGAATTGGCACTTTTGGGGGCAGTTCAATTTTCCGCATTGCCTCCAAAAATGAGTCAACTAGATTTATACTTTCGCTTGTCCTAATTGGAGAAGTATCAACTACAATTAGTCCTTTTACCAAATTGGGCTGTAACAAAATTTAATAAGTTAACATTATTCTTTATTTATATTTACATTAATATTTATTTATAAATATTTTCTTATTATTTGTTTTATAAAAAATAGCTATTTTTTTATTATTCTTGCGGTGGCATTGTATAATTTATTAAATATTTAATATGAAATTTAAAAAAAATAAAATATTTTTAATCTATACAAACATAAAGTAGAGCTGTCAACATCATTGCCCTTCCACCCATGCTGTGACCCAGCAGGACGGCACGGTCAATTTCAAGCAAAGTGAGGAGCGCCCGCAGATCCTCTGCCATATATCTGTAGCTGTGATTTTCATTGTGCGGACTTTCCCCGTGGTTTCTGGCGTCTACGGCTACCACTCTCCTGCATGTCTGGGCATGCAGACTTTTGGACAGTGACCGCCAGTTAGACTTGGAGCCCAGAAGGCCGTGCATAATGATGAGGGGGCTGATTGAGGGTATTGAGGTCAATTCATAAGACGAGTAGGCCATCTGGATGGGCTGAATTCTGCAAGTTTCAATTAGATTAATTTTAATTGTGTGTGAATCAAAGTTCACTGACCTGTCCGTTTGAGGGGTTGTAAATTTGGCGCTGGAAAAGTGTCGCTGTAACGGTGCTGATAGTTGGAACTCTTTTTTCCAAGAAATAATTCTCATTTTGGCAAATCAATCTAATTAACTTCCTGACGGGTAGATCGCTAGGTTAGCCACTGATGATGTTGTGATTTTTCAATTTGCCGCTCTCAATGTCATACTGTGTTTTGCAGCGGTTTGATAATATAAAGACTTGTAACCGGTATAAAGATAACAACTGCACAATTTCAAACTAAAATATAGGTTTACTAAGGATAATGTCTAACATTTTGATAATTGAAATGCGGAAATCTGCAGCTAATCTTATCGTCAAATTGGTAATTAATTTAACTGTTGTTAGTAAATTTTTAATTCACTTTTATTCCCGTAAAGCTAAAAAAAAAGTTATTATGGATATGAATTACTATCAATTAAAATTTTACAGACACTAAGAATTTCTTAATATTTTGTATGAAATTAATTTTGGTTTAAAAGAAATTGGCACTGATAAAGATCATGAACAAAAAATCGCATGACAAACGCTTATCCCCTTTTAAAAATTAACTTAATTTTGTTAAATTAAAATTGCAATAAAAAGAAAACCAGAAATGCAGGGTCCATAGTTTATATTTATCATATATCAAATTGATGTATTAATATATAATAATTATATATTTTATTGAAAATTAAATGAAGTTCTTCTGTTTTACTATAAAATATTATTACCTATTTATCATGATTATTAAAATTTTTCTTGCCTAAAAAAAGTAATTTAAAACAATAAAAATGATTGTTAATTTAAATTTTATAAATCAATTTTTTTAATATTTTATACAATGCAATTAAAAATATTATTATAATATAATATGTATTAAAATTTTTTTTTAAAAAACATTATTTATATTTTAACTTTTTTTTTAATTTTCACTTACAATGAAAACAATATCTCAGTTAAAAAAAAATAATTAATTTAATAAATTGGAAAAAATAATTAAAATTTTAATTTTTTTCTTTCAAATTCAAAACATACTTTTCTTTTCTGCATTCAAACTGATATTATTTATATTACAAATCTCGGAGCTTTTGTTACAATCACACAACTATTATACAATTAAAGCAATATTTTAATAATTAGAATTATATCAAATATTTCATCAATACTCTACACATGAGTTATCTTTTCCGTCTATACCAAAGTGGGTCTATATTTCTGTTGCCCAAAACCCAAGACCCAGTGATGCTCTTCTGCGAGCCTGACTGGCTCGACCCAGAGACGACCTCCAACCTTGGAAGTGACGTTGGGGGTTCTGGCTCATTGTAATCCTTTCTTCTGATCGCGCAGAACCACCAGCAGCAAATGAAGCAGAAGAACATGAGACTCATGAACAAAACCCCCAAGGCGATTCCCAACATCGTACTCCAAAAATCTGGAAAAACATTTTCGCACTCAGGCGGCGGCGCTTGGCTCGTAGTTGTGGCTTTCGAAGTGGTCGGAGCGGAAGTCGTGGTTGTTTTGAGGGTGGTGGTCGTTGGGCTTTTGGTGGTTGAGGTCGTTGTCGTTAACCTTGTGGTGGTCTGTTCTTCAGTTGAAGTTTCCGCTTCGGTTGTGAATTCCTCCTCAGTTGTAGTCTCTGCTTCATTCGTGAATTCATCTTCAGTTGTGGTCTCCATTATTTCTGTTGTTGGAGAGTCTGTGGGCTTTGGGGTCGGCGGAATAATGGGCTCGTCCGAGACCCCAAACCATCGCAAGGCCACAAACTCTACGTCGGCCGTGACCCATATTTCAAGCTATATAGAAAAATAAAATTGATTTTAATTATTACCAAGCAAGATCAAAAAGAGGAAATTGAAAATATTTACCCTATACTTTCGAGGATACGTTATCCCTGGTTGAACTGGCACGTCAGCCTCAAATTCGTACCAACCAGCAGAGGACGAGCCCCTAACATCAGTCAAAAGGTGCGAACCCTCGTCTTCCTGTACTAGCCAAACTTGAATTTTTCTTGTTGTCGCGCCTATATTGGCATCCGGCATGTACACGCTCATTTTGAATGAGTAATTTGATAAAATCTCAAAGGCGTCTGGAGTTCGAATGCAGGACCGTGTTAACTTTTCGTTTGTTAGAACAAGTCCTAAAAAAGATATTCAATTTTAAAATCAAACGATGAATTAAAGTTTGAGAATTAAATTTTTTTATTCTATGAATTTTTATTAAATTTCCTTTTACCTGTCAATGGTCCACTTTCAGGAGTTTCGTATATCGATGCATCCTCTTCTCTCCATGAGCCAAGAAGGAAATTTCCTGGTGGGCAAGGCGATTCAAGACCGGGGTTGCCTTCGGACAGATCAAAAATTTCGCCCATTGATGGACGTGCCGCGAGCACCAAAAAGAGAACAAGGCGCGAGAGAGTCATCATCAGTCTGATTAGGCACAAGGTAGGTGTGTTTCGCGCGAGAGGTGTCTATTTTGTTAGCGCCTTTTGTGACATTCTGATTAAATATAAGAGTGCGACGTTTCTGCCGACTATTGTCGTCAGAATTTTTATTATCTTTGATTTGATTGATCACACAAGGTGATTGAAATTTTTGCGATTTCATCACAAAGTTTAGGGGGGAAATGTTTAACTTGATAGATATAAGTTTTAGAATTCATGGCAATCCCCACAAAAAACTAATCAAGATTTTGAATTTCTAAGAATAAGTAAGCGCTTTTTACGCACTTCATAAAAGCTTAACAAAAAAGCTAGTTCCTCATTTCATTCCTGTAGTAATTTTTTTTTAATACACGCTCTAATCTTGCGCTAGTTTTAGTTTTTAATTTATATAAGTGTGTGTTACACTCAGGGAGCTTCCAATATTTTATTATAGATACTGTGTTATGCACTTGTATACACTTATTAAAATTACTAATTGCTTTCGAAAAAAAAATTATATGTAGCATAATAAAATAGTTTCAGAAGCTGAAAATAAAACATCTAAAATGCAAAACTGTAATATTAAAAAAAAATTATTATAAAATCGTGACTGGTATAGTATTACTTAATTTAGACTTAAAGAAATTAGATGTATTTATTTTCTTACACATTCCATTTCATTCTTAATTTTTTAATAGTATGGTCCTGGTTCAACCGTAGTGGACGGTTCAATAAAAGGAGGTGGTAAAGGGCCATCTGAGGCTCCAAACCAGCTTAGAGCTGCAAATTCCACATCGGCAGTAACCCAAATTTCAATCTGAATAATCAATTTTTTAAAATTTATCTTCTTCTGCTTGTAAAATTTAATTACCCAGTAATTCCTAGGATAGGTTATTCCTGGTCGTAAGGGCATCGGCGCACTCACCAAATACCAGCCTGCTGCCGAGGAACCTGATAATTCAGTCAAAATATGAGCGCCCTCATCTTCCTGCACCAGCCAAATTTGAATTTTTCGAGTAGTGGTGCCGATCACAGCATTAGGAAGGTAGACATTCATTTTGAACGTGAAGTTAGAATGGAGCTCCATTAAGTCTGACGTTCGGACGCAAGATCTAGTCCATTTCTCGTTTCTTAAGACTAGTCCTGATTGAAAAAAAAATGAAAATTAGTATGTTAATGAAATACATTAATTTAAAAATTTAAGGTACGTTGTTAATAAAAGTTTGGATTTCTTGCTACATTTTTTTTTCAATATAAAACTTATTACCTTTCATGGGTCCACTGGCTTCTGTTTCATACAGTGAGGCGTCCTCCGCTATCCAAATCCCAATCATCGGATTTGACGGCGGGCAGGGTGAAGTCAAACCGGGATCAGCATCGGACATATCAAAATAAAAGCAAAGAACTGGGCTTATGGCGAATGCCAAAAATATTAATGTCTTTTTACGAAACATATTGTAGCAGAGGCGCGCAATTGATTTTTGCTCAATAGTTTAATACTATACTTAACTCTTCATTGCCAGCGTGTCTTACCAGTATCAAAAAGAAGATTAGATAAATGAGCAGTGCAAAACACTACATACATAATAAGACTGTTTAAATGATTGCATTCTTGATTTGATTATCCTGGCAATCATTTGTGTAAAGATATTTTGCATATTCCACATTAGAAGAAAAAGATTGTTTAAAGTTAGATTTATTGATATATCTGCGGACATGCCCTGCCCAAATTCATAAACACATTAAAAAAATATTGAAAAATATAAAGTTGATTTACAAACAAAGAAAAAATTCGCAGATATGACAGAATATAATATTATTATTTTGATTAACAGCCGTTTCTAAAAATTATTTTATATTAATAAAATAAATATTGCAAAACAGGTTGCTAAATAATTTTAATTCCCTTTCATTAATTATAATCTGGGAAAAAAAATGCTTAAATTTAGATGTATACAGTTTTCAGGGAGCTTCTCATCAAAGATCAGAAACTGTGTTAATTAACAAGTGAAGGTGGTGATTGACGTTTTGAAGAGATACTCAAATTCACTAGCAATTCAGTTCTTATCGCGCGGTGAATTGCTCAAGATCAAGAGAGACAGCACGCGTCACTCACTATACCTTGACCAAGAAAAGTAAAATCTATTCTTGTAAATTAAAAATCGTCATGTTTCAAAGATTTGACAGGATGTATGATGGAATTGATGGATCTAGTGCCACAAAAATCTGATGTTTGGAATGCGATAACTTAGCTAAAAGAGACGGCCCATTTTTATTTACTCAAGAAATTCCATCACATCTCCTTCCTATTTCTATTAGAACAAAATTTCTGAAGCCTTCGAGATAAGAGGTTAATGGTATTTAATTATTAAAATGAAATAAAATTTTGTTTGCTTCTCGGTCTATTTTATTTATTCTTATTACACACATTCAAACTTTGATCAGTTTTAAATCACATATTTATGAACATTTACATATTCAAGTGTATTTTTTTTTATCTTTTTACTTCCACTGTTAAATTTACACTAATTGATTGACACTTATTGTTTACATAAATTTGTGTTCCTGAATTTGTAAGAAATTTATTAAACAATTTTACATGGTTGAAAAAATATTCTCTTGGTTTACGTCTGATTTAAAAATCTATAGATAGTATGACTGGCCAAATAATTCATTACAATTACTGCCCATTTTCATTCCCGTCAGTGAGAATATTAATATTGACATATTTTTTCCGTCAAATTGTAAGCTCAGATCCGTTTATAGTTTTCTTTGACTAAAACTGTGTTTTGTACACAAACATTAATGTAATTAAATACATGATACATAGATAGATTAACATTTTAAGGAATATTATTATTAAATGCTATGCGTGTAATTTTAAGATGAGATATATTATTATGTTTGATAAAATTATTATATTCTAGTACAATATTTCTTAAAAGATCGACTTTTGAGAAACTTAAAAAATAACAAGACACACAGCGGACTTTAATATTAGAGACATTTTTGACGATAACTTTATAAAGTTACATGTTTATATATTCATGTTACATATATGTAACATGAATATATGTTTCGAACACACTTATGTTTTTTGTTTGCTCTTTTGCAGCTGCAAAAGAAATATGACAGATCCCAAATAGCTTACGTAAGATAAATTAAAAACAATAAAAATGCATATTTTAAACTAGCGCAGTGACAAAAATTAATAACTCCTTTCCTTATTTCATGAAAAACGAAAATTTAACATTTTAGAGATTTTATTGAGGTCTTGCTCTTTGAAACGTCTTGCGAGATTATAACTTATTCAGTTGATTGCAAACCATTGGGGGGATTATCAGAGATTGAAAATGAGAGGTGCAAAATCGTTAATAGAAAAATTCAGAGATCAGTCATATTTCCACTTCAGCCAATAAAAACTCCAGAGAGCAAATCTGGATTATTTGAAGTGAAAGTTGCCCAAAGATCATCTAAAAGCCGTCAACAATTTGATTTATTCAACAAGTAAATTGAAAATTCATTAAAAAAAAGTTCATTCGATTCTCGACTATTCCACAACACAGTCAGCTTTGCAAAAATCATAATAACAAAAATACAATGACAAAAAATTATAAATATATATTTATTTTGTAAAAGGTTTTTGGTGAACTCTGTGTCAAAACGCACAAAATAAGTTAAAGGGAAAGAAGAGAACAAACCGAAAAGGTCCGCCACTAGCTCGCCTTGAGCAGAAAAGTTCACACGAGCACTTCGAGGGACTCATGGGAGGTAGAGGTGGCCGGGTTGAGTTTCTTCATCTGCAGATCATTGTTTGCGGGCGGCTGCGTCTTTGCCGGGGGCCTGTCCCTGGAGCGAGGGGCGCACAGGGGCCTCCGCGCCGGCAGGAGCAGGCACAGCCGGATCCAGAAGTTGTCCTTCTCTAGTTTGGCCGGCGGTGGCCACACAATGTGCCGCGTCTTCTGCAGCGCCGCCGAAAGCTCGCGACCAGCACTATCCACAGGCAGATCCTGCAATCAAACAAAAAACAACCCGGTTTTTTAATTAGCTCTTGATACATAAATTACTTGTCTACACTAATTTAAAGAAAGGGGGAAACTATTAAATTATAAAATTTTTGTTTTGTTACCAAATGTAAATATTTATAAAAAAAATTAATTGCAAATAAATTATCTTATTAGAATTGCTATTGCTGATGTGCATCATATAATAATTTTTAATTATCAGAAGAAACAAACATAAAAAGTTTTTAATTATTATTTCAAAATCAGTTTAAAATTATATAATATATTTATCTGATCCACTCAGATTATTACATAAATATCATACAAAAAATTAATATATAAAATAAAAAATTAAAAAACTTTTTATATCAAATGATTCTTCCTCAGATTAACTCCGATGCGCTGTACGTTTACTTAAACATAACATTAAGTTTCCTCAAGTGTAAAAATAATTTTTTTTTTTAGTTATTTATTATAATTTTGAATTTTAAACTAAAATTTACTTATTTGAAGTTTTCCTGATGTTAAATATTTCGCTCTTTGTCCCTTATTTTGAAACTTTATTTTAGCCTAGGTATTTTTAACATAGGAAATCCTCTTCTCTCAATATGAGCAAACAATAAGCAGACGCGGCTCTTCTCTAGTTTATAACCTTGTCCATCAAGCTGCCAATTTGCGACGAAAATGCCAAAAGTGGCTAAACTAGTTGTGTTGAATGCCCAAACCAAGCGATTTTATGTTTTTTGCTTTAATTACAGACGACAAGTACACCCTTCTTAGGCCCAACAACGTTTTAATTACAACCTGCTGCCGCGCGCTTTGCTGTTTACAAAGTGGGCGAAAAGCGCCAAATTTGTAAATCCAAGACAAGAGTTTTGTGTTATTAAAAATAATATTTGTCTGCCATTTGCAATTTTAGAATACTTTGCAGTGGAAAATATTTTTAGTATGCCGTATATCTTTAATAATATTACAAAAAAAAATAGTTTATATCTTTGCTGCAAAAGAAAAATTTAAAATTTTCAAAGTCATCATGCAAACGAATTTTGTTAAAGTCATAATTAAGAACGTCATAAAATGCATTTAAAAGACCAACAGTCTTTGTTGTAGCTAAATTTTTTCTTACGCGTAATTTTCGCAGACAATGAATTGCAAAGAGGAGAAAATTATTTCTCAAGCGCCTCTTACAAAGTTCCTGATTATTTTAGAAAGAAAAATACGTTTGAGAGTAAAATTAATTTATTTAATAACTCATCGATTCATGTCTACTGACGTAATGAAAATATTATTTTTGTTTGAGTAAAAAGATGTAATAATTACAGATGATTGTAAAATTTCGAGAAACAAAGGTGCTTGGTTATATAAAAAGCAGAGACGGACTCAGTAAAATCGGCTTAATTGCGTCTAAAATTATTTCAATTTGCTCCTTTCGCCAAGTCACAGCATTCGCAAAAGAAATAGCTGCAATTAACTTTTCTTGAGGCACCTGAGTCCGTCTCTGCCATCCCGAGGGAGCTCAGTTAATTGCTCGCGCGCTCATTTTCGCGCTGTAAATTACGCAATTGAAGCATTCTGGGAAGTTTGTCGCTTAATTGCAGCGCTGTTGTTTGCCGTGTTGCTAAGCGCGTTTTAAGCAAAATATTATATTCTGCAACCTCTGCATAAGTTTATTCAATATTCTGCTTACTAAATTACAAATTAAGCGCTATAAGAGATTTCTGCATCAACTTTAAAACTAATTTATATTCCTGATGGGCTCGAGGAAACCCACATAGAAGCTGGATAATTAAGTCGTGCAATTTGACTAGGTAATATATTAGTTTATCAATCTAACTTGCACTACCCTTTTATTTAAAATTTGAGATTTTTTTAAGATGCTATAAAAAATGTATTATTTGCGTTAGTTAAGAGAAAAATGAATAAAAATATTAAAAGCAGTACAATGGAATAATTATTTAAATTTAACTTTTTTATTTTATGTACTCGTATTAAAAATCATATAGAAATCTATTTTATAATTATAAATGTCAATCAGTTATTCAAAATATTATGGAATCTGTACCTGTGTGACTACGAACACCATGCTGGGGTGTAGCTGTGATAGGTGGTCCAGTAATTGGGCCAACGAGGCGGCGCTCCAGGTGGATGAGTGCTGCTGGGCAAATGCGGGTGACAACACCATCACCAGCCGCCTACTGACTTGGGATAACTGGGCCAGACGCCCGCAACCTTGAATCAATTTTAAAATTATGTTAGAAAAATAATTGCTAGTAGATTTTGCTAAAAGTATAAGTGAGAATATATCAATATGAAAAATTTAATAAAATTAATTGAAGTTTTTATTTGCATTAGCCGCGGTTTTGAACTGAAAGTTTCCTTGCATAAAAATCATAAAAATAAAATAAATTTAATTCAGGGTGTCAGAAGATATTATTCTGCATTGCTGTTTGATTTCATTTACACAATTTAAATATTCTTCTAATACAGTCATGTTTGATGGCTGTTTTAGATTTTTGTATAGATAAAAATAATATAGCAATCACTTATAAAATTGATTAAAATAATATAAAAGAGTCTGAAATGTTTGCAATTAATTTCAAAAAAAGATATCAGAATTAACTTATTTTTAATTATTATGCTTTAAAAGTATTTTCGTTACGATAAGATATTAGGAAAAATTCAAATGTGTAAGAAAAAATAATTAAAATTTTATTAAAAATTAAATATTGAGAGTTCGTTAAGATTTTTAAATGTAATTTTGTTAGCGCTGAAATCACAAAATTGTCTGTTTCTTGGAATCCAATTAATTCCCCCTTTTAACTCTATGTGGCAACCAAGACTTTGTGAGTGCAAATTTACATGATTAAATTACCATCAGGCTGGAGCTGATGAATGCAGCATTGGTAGTGGAACCTTTTCTCGAGGGCCGGCAGCAGTTCGCCAACTGCAAACTCAGCGTCTTTGGTTACGTAGCATATAAATATGTCAAACTCTTTTGGATCTGAAAACAAATGAACAATTTAGTGCCAGACTCGCCACAAGAACCATCAAACTTTTACCATTTTTATCCCCCGAAGAGAAGAAATCCTTCCACAAGAGGAGCAGTCTGAGTCGCAGTTTGTAATAAGTTAGAAGCACTAATCCTAGGGCTATACAAGATAAAGCTACGGCTAAGGAGACGCCGTTGGGTGGCGACGTCAGCGGAGCGGCCTTTGGCACTTCTAAGAGAATTAACAAAAGAAAGGCTGTAGAAAACGAGCCCAGGAACTAGTTACAAATTTATTCACCTTGTTTGCGAAGCTCTGCCGACATGTGCATGTTCCAGTTGGAAACAGCGATGGAGCAAATGTACCGACCGTAATCTTGGGGCTGCACATCTGCGACTTCGAGATAACCACCAAGAGTTTGGTCTTCATCTCTGCAATATGAGCAACGAAGTTAGTCGAATGTTTGAAAGTTTATGCGATTTGTTTATTTACCTGTGAAAGTGGTGTTGGATGAACTTAGTCGAGTTCAGTAGTGAGGAGTTGGCTCCATCCTTTCTCCAGTTCACTGTCTGGTGCAATTCACTGGTTTTGTTTACGGCAATGTGTCCTGAAATTAGAAATAAGTCAAATTTTTTTTTTAAGACACTCATTTTACATGTTTTCCTTTTTTACAAATGAATTAGAGGGGAAAAGATTAACTAATTTCCTAATTGTAAAAACAGTTGAAAATTGTACACAGCGTGAACTAATTGTAAGTGCAATGGAAGCAATAAGAAATCATTAAAAATTGAGCAATATTTTAGCAATTAATTCTAAGATAATATTGAAGAGGTATACCAATTTCATGAGAGAATTGAAGTTTTAGGATAATCTAATATTTACTGTGGAATCAGCAAAAAAATCTTATTATTTCCCTTTTTCCCTAAGGAGCCACACGTTTTATAAATGATTGTAGAGGAAATTTCATCTTTCCACATTTTTATTTAATTTTAGGTTTACAAAAATTGACTCCATTTTTTTTTTAATTGGTTTCAACTATTTCAAATCTAAACAAAATTAAAAAATTGTTGACAATAACTTTTGCCAACTTAATTAAACATTAACTTTGGCAATTTTTAAATTAAATTTAAATTTGACAATAATGATAAAGAGGGCTGTATTTTCTTTTTGAAGCGCTCCTGTCTAGATCCAATAATTTATTTATCTCCTTATTCATTAATTTGTGACCCTTTTATAATAATGATAAGACTACTAGTACAATAAGTGGCGATGTACTACATCAGATAATGACCCTCTCTCACAAATTGGAGTTTTGCCGTCGAGAGGGGTAAATCTACTCAATTTGCGCTTGATCGATTCATTTGAAACCTACGCACTTGTGCACGGCAGAGCAGCACCGCTGTCGCTTCTCGAAACAAGCTGTACTGGAAAATAATTTTATTGATTGCGATTCCAAGAAACGAATTATCGACAGGCTGTGCTGAAAGCAGCGCTGCACTCGCCGAGAAGCGGCGGCGAGAGTTCGTGCGCAATACAAAATTGGTGTTGCCCAACTGACTGCCAAAGCGAACCGTCGATAAGTGTGCATAATTGTTGGCCTCCCGCGGTAGCCACCAACAATCTCCAACCGGAGCTAATTTTATAAATTTCGCATATTTCTTCCACTAAGGACAAAAATTAATTTGTTTTTGTTGATGTGCAAAATGGCTAATTAGTCAGGTCGCGGTTTTTGCGAAATTTGGGGCAATTACGGCAGGAACTAAAAGCTATAAATTTTAATCTACTTTATGAAAGTATGCGCTAGACTAAAATATATATTGACGGTGTTTTTATTGCATCCTCATCCTGCTTGTTCTTACCGATAAAAGCTTCGCAGAAAAATCGCGTGCTGTCTCCTGGCGAAATGTACTGGTCTTCCGGTTTGTAGGTTGTTTTCATAGGACCCTCGTAGTCATTGTCTGAAGCAAAAAATTGTTTTAAAGAATTGCTGCTTTCCTTCTAGAAAATTTTTTTGATTGAATTTTACATAAACAGGATAATTTTACGACACTGCATTAGGGAAATAAAATAAAAGACAATAGAAATTTAATTACTAAGCCCATTATTCAATGTGTTTTTTTTTTTTTTAATTTACATAATATTGACAATTTAAAGCAATTATTTCAGCAGAAAATTAACCAGAATCTGCTTTACCCATATAATTCTAAATTTGAATAAAATTTTTATAAAAAACAGATTTATTTTTGTTATTCTTTCATAAAATCAACTCACCTAGAACCGTGAGACTGATTGTGTGGGAGAGCGAATGGGTGTCATTGCGCACCACACACTTGTAGAGTCCGGCGTCGGATTCGCGCACTGCACCGGAAAATATTGTCTGGTTTACAGTCTGTGGATCCAGAATGAAAGAGGATCCGCCTCCCAGCCATGGGTATGGAATGTCATCTTTGTACCTGGAACAAGAAAAGAAAAAGGGTTGAAGCATGGAAATTTGTATTAAAGTGGGGCTCCTATATGTTTGTAATAAGTAACGGGCGCAAAGTGAGGCGTGCAGCGTGTGGGATTGGATTGCTCGCGACGTGTGGAATACTGCGAAACGAACGTGCTGAGCAAAAATTTTTCATTCACTCTTCGCTGTATTAAATTCAGTCTGGGGCGGACACGCCTATCAAATTTAATTTCCAAGAAGCAAGCGTTTGTGCATTGCATTATATTCTTTTTTATTTCTTCCAGCGTGCCTTTCCAAGTACTGTATATCTGGTGCAATTTTTATGATCAACGTCTTGGAATCAAACGAATTACTTGATGGCACACTTCTCCGAGAGCCGCCGTCGTAAAGTTCTCGAGTGGAAAACACGAACGCTTGTCAAAACAAAAAGTGTGCGTTTATTATTCAAAAAGATGTGCCGATAGATTTTCCCTCAATAAAAGTTTCAGCCGGACAGACGAAAAAAATTGCGAGGCAAAATAAACTGTGAGGCATTCTGAGAATGAAAGTATCAAAGTTATTATACTCGGCGTGCGCGAATCTCACATGCCACTCCATACTACAACTACTGCTACAAGTTGGTGCTACGAAAAACTCGTTGTGCGTCCACTAAGAAAGATATGTCTATTTTGACAGCAGGAATTTGCATATAAATAAGTCTCAAGTTTTACTCTCTTGGGCAATGATCTCTTCCTCTCTGGCTACTGAATTATAATTTTATTCCGAGGGTCGTGCTCCAGGCTGTTTATTTTCTCAGCTGACTGACTGCAAGTTCAATTTAAATTCTAATGTGCGATTAATATTCACATATGCACATCGAGAGTGTGTTAATCGGCTAAAGTGAGATGACTTCGAGGAATTACTGTGTGAATCAGATAGTATGGAAAAATTGATTCACTTCCAAAGAATTTGAATGGCGTGTGCATTTATTTTTTGGGTAGGTGGAAAGGACAGATATATTTTTCCAGACAGACTTAGATTGCCGAAAAGTATTGACCCTTGGAAATGGCAATACTTGCGCGAAAAATACTTTTTATTTCATTGGTGACGAATATTTTGTAAATAATTAGTTTTTATTCTCATTCTGTTTCATACTATTGATAATTGAGAATTAATAATTGTATTTTTTAACGGTATCTCTTTAGAGCAGAATATTTAAAACTTAATTAAAAAAGGTATAAAAATCTCCGAGCTCTAAGTTTGAACAAAATATTATTAAATTACATATTTCTATAAACAAATTAAATATTTTCTAGGATTATTATTATTCATTTGTGTATTGTCTTTAATATTATGCAAAATTTCTATACTTCAAGAATTATTTTGTTTTTGGTAATTAAGATCAACAGTTGGGATAAAATTTATATTTTTCTGATCACAAGATAAATTAATTGTTTTGTTTCAACTAAACACTTTTCTAAACATAAGCTTTGATCATCATTATTTCAAATTTTAAACACACAAATCACTCATCCACGATCTTTGAAAGAGGCAAGGCACAATTTTAGAAAAGATTATTACTATAACCGAAATTTCCATTTAAATATTAATTGAATATCAAATTTGTGTTATATATTAAGATTTTTCATAATATTTTATTATCTTTCTTTCGGCTCAATGACCCGCTGAGCTCAATTCGGTTCACAATAATTAATAGTTACACTCTTTGAAAGGGCATGTGAACGTTTTTCGCCTAACAAAGAATTACAAAGTAGGGAGGTGTTTTGAATCGGCTCTTCCAAACGTGTCGGACAAATAAATTAATGACCGGCGATCGCTCCGGACATAAGCAGCATTAATAATAATAAAATTTCGCAACGGCGTGACTGGCATTCGCATTTACTCTAAGTACGTGCACCTGAGCGCGGGATGATGACATCAGAATTGTGACCCCGCTCAAATTCGCGGAAGCCGTCTAGTGCGTACACCTGACGGGCCGAATTCTGATTTCCACTTGACCGCGTTTGGAGAAACTTCAAAAACCCCTGTCTACGATTTGGCTCAAGTTCTGCTGTGAGAAATATTTTTTGAATTTTTCCTGGGCGACGCGAAATAAAACGCGTGGCGTGCTTGGTGTGAAATCACTTTCTGGAACTCGCCTGTGAATAATTCACCAGCGTCCCGGGAATCGGCGGTGCTTATGCATAAAATGTTAAATTTACGAGAAACCGGGGCATGAATGCACATTCCGGGAAAGGCGCCGCCTGCTTGCGGTCGACAGGCGCACCAAGTGGTTTTGTAAGTTTTCTTCATAACAAGTCGCTCGTGGGGCAAGAAAAGGAAAATTTGCTGGGCAGAAGACTTTTTTGAAATGCCAATAAATGTAAGAAGAAAAATTGTATTCATGGTGCAAGACGATGGGGCTCTCGGCAGCCAATCAATTAGCTGAGAACTCGCCGATCCACGTTTGCGCTCAAACACACATAATACGTCTAGAAAATAACAAGTAAAAAAATGTTTATTGCAGGCCAGTTATTGTTGCTGCGGTTCTATTTTTTGCTGGCAGCGTCACGCATCTTGCTCTCTCTCCTCTAATTATCGGCCGCTGGAGATAAATAATGGCTCGTTATTTTTAGAAATTTCTAATTATTTTAAATTTGCTTAAGGTAAAGTTTAATACAATGCAGACGGATTTTAAATTTCTGTCCTGGTTATTACCACTTTGAACAAAGTAGGCGATTTTAATTTATTGCCTATTCTGTAGCAATAGGTTGGTAACCTAATTTTTCCATCCCCACCTGCGTAGCCATGATTGTTTATGTTGCTGTGAGCTATAGGAGAATATGCACAACTAGGTTGCAATTTCTTCCCCTATGGAGAAATAAAAATTTTGTTACGCGTTCTTCATCCCCTATTACTAGAAACATGAACTCTCATTTCATATCAAATGAATTTTAATACATAAATCTAACTATAAAATATTTTTTTAAATTTCTAGTGATTTTCATTGTGAGCATTAATCAGGCAGATGAGAAAACCGTCAAAACCGTCTATTAGTTTTCCTCTTTTTCAGACAATTTAGTTGCAAATTTTCCTCATACTTTATCAAGAAACTACTGCCCAAATTCATAATTTCTTACATAACAAATAATAATAATTATTATTTATGCTCAATGCAAAACTCAAAATAATTTTATGTAGTAAGCAACACTTAATATTGAAAGCACATGTACCATTGCAGAATTCCATAATTAATTATTAATTGCTTTTGATGTGGAAATTTGGAACTAGAGCATTCAATTTCTACCAGCAGAACCCACTTGAAAAGCAGCCCCATGAGCGAAAACAGCGCCGCCCTTGGTGCTGTAATGGAGGTTGGTGGTGAAATTTCCGAGAAGGCGCGGGGACTGAACAGAGCTCGAGGCTCGATAGGATCTTCAGAGAAGGAAGCAGGGCTGACAGGGACTCAGCGTATTCAACAAGATGCGTGAGCCACGGCACCGTTGACAAGGAAAATAATGCGGCTTTGCCTTTCTAAGAAGACGGGGGTTCTCGAATTAAATTATATTTAAGGGTGAGTGCAATAATATATTGCATCACTTTATTTTCTTGAATTGGGGTCTAAAATTTACAATTTTTTTTACATTAATTGTGCACAAATTTTAGAAGATAAAAAATATCTGTGAAAGAACAAATGCGGCCGCGCGTTTCTGTGGATGAATTTTATAATTTGGACCATAAAAGTGTGTTTAAGGTAATTACAGGTGGGGTTATTAGAGGTAATAATATAATTGCAAAAGCAGCTGGAGGAATGGGCAGCAATCTCTGCAGCCGTATTTGGCTCGAGACTCATCCGCGCCGCCGTTGAAGTTCGCGGAAAATAATTCGAGTCGATTGTTTTCCCGGCGTTCATTACGCGCGGCTTTTAAATTGTTTCTGCGTAAGTGCCTCAATTCGCAGCCTGCCTTGACTTCGGCGCGGGCAATTAAAAATAATAATCACGCCGGACGCAAGAGAGGGAGAAGCGAGTCGGAGAGAGAAAAAAGTAAGAAGTATAAAGCCGGTGGAAAAAAATCGGCGGTGCTGCTGCAGACGAAAGAGTTTTGTTGAGCGGCAGCACTGGCCTAATTACCGCAATTCGGACTCAGCCTGCGAGCTGAATAATAAAAGTCGCACGTAAATTGACTGATGCTGAACACACACGCCGGCAAGCAGAGAGGAAACAAGTGGGAGAGAAAAAACAACAGGATGTCAACGTTTTGCCGAGAAATCTAATCATAAATTGCTTACGGAACTTTTGTACAAAGATAATCAATTAACATTATCAAATTTTGTAATAAATCTTTCAGATGTATGGTCCTTTTTACAATTTATTTTTATGCACTTCAACTTAAGTAAACATTTCATGCTCAGTAAAAGGTAGAAGGGTAAGGTAAAGAAATTAAAACAGGACCGTAAATTATTTTGATTATTACAATTTTTTGAGTAAAAAAATGTTTATAATAATGTTTTTGTTTTTAATTTGCACAAAAATCTAATTTTTTTTACTTTTATTTAAAATCATATGTTCCACGTTTAATTTAATTCAATTCATAACGAAACACACAGTGGCAATAAGTATAGCAAAGTAAACAAGAAAGTTTGTGTAAAAGCTGTAGCAAGCATAATATATTAATGATATTACACCACCGCTGTGCTGCAATTTCCTTGTTTACTTCCGAGAAGTCAAGAGGAGCTCTTGAAGCACTCGCGTGTACCCCTTCAGAAATAATTGTTCAAGACTCTGCGTAGGAGAGTGATTTGATGCAGGGATGGCGCACAGAAAAATGTAAATCACAGAGGGAAAATACAATTTTGCATGCGTTGGAGTGGCGACACATAATTAAAATTTCCGAGAAACCACCCTGCAAGTGAGGAAATCTTCCTGGAAATGTAAGCAGCAGGCTCTTGAATAAAGCAAAATTGTAAAGGGAAAAATAATAACAGAGGCTCAACTTGAGTGAGCATAGACTCCATCTTTCACAA